CATTCATTGTCCAGTAAGCCTATACTTAGAAAAGACCATGAGTACAAGGTAGGTGTCGAACTAAATTTAGTCGGCCATCAGCAGACAAACATTAATTCATGTGCCAAATGGTACTGCCAAAATTATTAATTTCCACGTGATACGTGGGTGGTACACTCCCCCATGACATCCCATTTCATCAGTGGACAAGGGAGTATCAATAAAATGGTACTTAACAATAGTTATAAATATGTTTTAAATACTGTCTTTAGTTTACGCGAGTAGTACACAATTAAATGAAACACTTAACGGTTTAAAACGCGATATATATTACTTAAACAAACGATTGTTAACTAATATTATAAGGGAAAAATTGTTTGATAATTATTTTAACTACAAAACATCCGTGGCGGAGGGCAGGCCCCTCCGCCACGGATGTTTTGCAGCAGCCGTGGTCACGGGGAGACAGATGGACCAAACAAGATTAAGTAATATTCCATTCAAGATTGAACCGCAATTTCAGCCAAGAACTTAGGCCTAGTCACACCACCATCGGCATTTGGCATTAAAACAATTGACGTCACAATTAAAGGGGTGTGACATGTGACCATGTGAGTTTTGACGTGGCCAAAGGAATTTGGTGGGTGGGTCTTCACGTGATGTTGTCTGAATAACCTTCATTCATCAACAACTTGTGATTGAAGGCTGAGTTGTGTTGGTTGAGTTAAGCTGGTAAGACTTCTATAGCGCCGTTTTCCAAGTAAGTGTAAAAAAAATAAAGATCTGCTACCATTCCTCATTTCACTCTGTACGCTCGTAATGGTCGTAGCTTGATATTTTATAGCCTAAATCCTTCCTCGGTAAATTCTCCAACAAACAGGAAAAGAGTATATCAATTTGTACCAGTAGTTCCTGAGATTGACGCGGTCAAACAAACAAACTTTTCATCTTCATAATATTAGCATAGATGCGCAAAACGTGCGCGGACGCAACGCGGAACTCTAAACTGTGTTCTTCCGGTGCTCGATTTACGACCCAATTGAGCTGAGTAGCAATTGGAAAATTACAGGTTACCTTAGGCCAACCTTGCTCCTTCCAGCATTTTCCAAAGACAACACAAATAGTTACGATGAAGTCAATTTCATCTTCACAACAATTGGCTGCATTAATCCACACTGTGACCATAAGAATTATATCTACTTTGTTAAAAGCATCGTCGTCTTGATCTTTGTTTTGATTGTAAATGTTAGCACTAGATAAGCTGAAAGGAAATGTCTATCTTAATCATTTCTAGGATTGAAGAAAATATATATTATCTTTGTATACAATTTGTTTGTAAATTTTAGTATATTATCGCTAGATATGCTAAAGGTGAATGTATATCTAAATCATTTCTAGGATTCAAGAGTATTTGACTGAGGATTGTAAAAAACAGATGGCGCTAGCGTAGCAGTTTTTATCATCCGAAATCATGCCGTAGTTAAAATAATTTTCAAATAAGTTTAACGAATATATTTCGCGATGTACACCTTTAAAGTGATTTATTTAAATGAGGATTGTAAAAATAATTGTTCCAGTTCATGTATAATTGGTGAAAAGAGACGATTAGATTGTTATTTTCACCTTATTTGTGTCAATTCTTAAACGGACAAGAGGACACAACATATTAGTATCTTCAGTGATTCCCAAAGTGGTCTATATCGACCCCTAGCGGTCTATGACAAAAAAAAATTGGGGCGTCCATGAAATGAAAATGGGGATCCACGATAGTGGATCTCTACACATACACTGATAGTACCTATTTACTTCCCTCGTACTATCTTATAATATCAATTATGAAATTATGTATGTTGGGTGTACAATGAACTTCACTAAAGTTAGAAAGCTACAGGAAATCAATATCAAGTAAGAAGGGGGTCTACCCAATACGGAAAAACATGGCAAATGATCTACAATACAAAAAAGTTTGGGAACCTCTGTTTCAAACTGTCTAAATATAGCTTAACATCCTCCTTCAACCCACGTCTTCACAGCTCCTAAATACCAATTACGCTATTTTGTCTGTGGTCTTGAGACCATAAATATTATTAGTGTCATTCGTGGACAATTTTTCTCTATCAGTCTGACGTAGACCTGACTGACATCCTCATTCGCTGATCTCGATCACAAATTGGTCAATCAGCAAATTGTACTGTTTATCATAAGCACAATGATCTTATACGTCATTATTATATAACGGTTCTAGCTAGCTAAACGGCGTGGTTCTGTCTGTGTCTGTTAAAGACGAACTTATAACTCTTCTAAAACATGTTGATCATCGCTGTCCACACTCTACGGACTTACTGAAAAACAGTTTCAGGTCGACAAAGGGCCTGATATAAACTGAGTAAGATCCTATTCTACTAGCAGCACACATTCCTTTTGGGTCACCAACCAATAATGTAAAGTAGTGTCTGTAGTTTACGCGAGTAGTACACATTTACATAAACACTTTTAACGGTTTAAAACCTGAAATGTATTGGAATTTACAATTTATTTTAACTACGGCCCGATGTTTGGATGCTGTAAACTCTTCCGCTGCCAATAGACGAAAACATGCGAAATGTCGGCTGTCGTAGTGGGAATGAATTGTAAATTAACTAAGGTGAACTTACAACAGCTTGGGTTAAATTGTGTTTTATTTAAATAAGTAAGTTTAGTAATTGTGTGTAACGTTTTGATATTTTTTTGTTGTTTTTGATTGTATATCTTGTTTCGCCCACCTTGAACATCTCGTTTTCCCGTAAACTTTCTCTTCTTTCATTTTGGGTTGCCTAGACGAGATCGCTTGTTAGCGATAAGGCCGCCCTTTGCACTCCATCTTTAGTGTATAAGTCTCGTTTATATTTTTGTTTCATTTTTTTTGTGCAATAAAATGTAAATAAATAAATGTAAGTATGCTATTCAAATAAAACTGTAATAAATCGCTTAATAGCTTTTACATTGGTTAAATTCTTGGTAGCAATGTGTGACGTCATAATGACTATCTATAACAATTTCCCACGGAAACGTTACCTACAAGAGTAACGATTGTTCTGAGATGTAGGGCAAGCAAATAAGGTTACATGCAAAATATTATTTTTAATTTTTTTATACTATCTATTTTTATACTAATTTTGTATGCTTCTTTCTATATAAAGCATTCAAGTTAGTACTTACTGTACTTAATACTTAAAAGTTATACACTTTTAACTTACGTTAATCGTTCTGCTGTTGTTGAAAAAAAATATTTCTTGCCACAAAATTTAACACACAAAAGTAAATAATATACTTATTTGAACCCACCAAACCATCCCGCGATTGCATTTTTTATGCTAACTGTACACGTGGTGACGTGCTAAGTAAATATGCCTACGTTTTCAGCAAATTCTATTTATAGAGTGCTCGGGTTTCATTTAATCATCGATAAATATCACGATATTGAAAAACGTTAATATTTTTCCACATGTTATTGCACAGAATTGCACAGAAAAATAAAAAACAATTGCTCGAAAGGTGCATGTGTCAATAGGTTGAAGAAAAATCGACGACGGCTCGATAACTCAATTGTTTAGAGCAGCACGGATCGCAGTGGATGCCGGTTCACATCCTGCCTGTCAAAATATAAACAAGAAATAAAGAAAGAAATATTTATAGGTGTCATTATAGATATTAAATATTTCTGTAAGTTAGCTTTGCTTAAAACTACAAGGTCAAAGTGTATCAATACGTGCGTTTTTTATATTATGATATGGTTAATGTAATGTTTTTATTAAATGCTGACAACTCGCCATCTCACAATGAAATTTTAATTACGTAATCTTAACTATCATTTTTTGCAAATTGTAGAAAACAACAAAATATTGCCAGATAGCAAAGACACGCATTGGTAAAATACTTCCCGCATATTATGTAAGAATTACGCTGACTATACTAACCGCGATCTAGATATATGTTGTTTCATTATGAATAATATGTATTGACACAATACATATTTTAAAAATTAAAAACTAAGTATTTAAATAAAACACTTTAACGGTTTAAAACGCGATATATTGGTTAAACTTATTTGAAAATTATTTTTAACTTCGGCCCGACGTTTCGGAGGCAGCAGCCGTGGTCACGGGGAGGCATCCGAAACGTCGGGCCGAAGTTAAAAATAATTTTCAAATAAGTTTAACCAATATATCGCGTTTTAAACCGTTAAAGTGTTTTATTTAAATGTATACTACTCGCGTAAACTATAGACAGTATTTAAAAACTAAGTATTTTAAAAATTTTACTTCTTTTAATTTAAAAAACGGTTTTTTTAAAGACCTGTTACAAGTACTCTTTTAATATATATGTAGGGCAAAGGGAGACACATTTATGTGTCTATTTTGCTATCCCTTTTATTTACCATCAAAACTAATTCTTGTTTCCCAAGGTTGTGATCCCAGGTCCTCTTGTGTTTAACCATTGAGCCCTGGATTCATTATTAAATGAAACAGACAACGGCGATAGGTTTTGGAGGGCTCGGGTTTGGTCTAATGGTAGCAATGTATGGCTCATAATCAACGGGTTTTGGGTTCGACCCCCACCGGGTCCTAATCAAATTATAATTCTTCTGAAACATATTGGCCTTCGTCTGATAATCTAGGTATTAAGTGTAAGACATGAACTACTGTTGTTTTGCAAATATCCAAACCTAAATTAGGCCGACAGTGCATCTTCTTTACATGTTAAAACTATAAAATGATGTCTCATAGGAAATTCTACCACTATATTAAGCATATTCTCTTTGTTACAGATCCAGGGCACGAAGTGCCCTCCACAACCATCCTTCGCCACCATACAACCAACAACAATGACCTTACAACCCCTTAGAAGAAAGCCGTTAAAAGTATTAAACACTTACCTGAACACGTAAAATACGTTTTGAACCAACTTTTGTGTAGTGTATATTGTTCCTTATCAAGTGATATCTAGCCTATAAGGTGCCATTATTGTTTAGTGATATAACAATGAAGTTTTTAAGTGTTGTGCTGTTTGTGGCAGTGGTGGGCGCAGACAGGAGTAATCTACCTCCAACGTGTGATAGGTAAGACATTAATAAGCTTTTATAATAATACATTTAAATTGAAAAATGTTTACGCCACGGGCTGATGCTCTAACCAATTGAGCTACCGTGTCACGTGAAACGGTAGCTCAATTGGTACACTATACTAAATAGATTTTTAATTAATATAATGCAAGCATGTGCAATAACATATGATAAATATTAAAGATTAGAAGCTTTAATATTGTATAACTGTTTGAACATCATAATTGAAAAATGGTAATAGACAGTTTAACTCAATTTTTCGATTTTACTCACTGCGGTTACATAATACCCCAGCTATATAAAATCTCAACAAGATGGGCCGTCGACCTATTTTGGCTTTGGATATTCGGAAATACACAAAACGAAACCAAACGCGATTAAACTTGACGAAAAATCATCCGTCGTTTGTGACCCGTATGGAATTTCGAAATTCCTACCACCCATTTACTTTTTAGATTTCCAGACGAAGTCTAACATTTCAGAAAAAATATAAATTGATTAGAAAACATTGGATCCGCCTGGGATCGAATCCACGACCCCTCGATTATTAACCGTACATTGCCAAACTTCATACTGAAAATTTGTTTACACGTTTTACGTGTTGTTCCTAAAATAAAAGCGTATTTCGAAGTATGATTTTCATTCACTGAATTAACGAAATTTTTAGTCAGACGAATGTCCCATTATTATTCGTGCACTTGAACGTGCTAATTGCAAAACCTGTCAACAGGAGGCTGAGAGGAAGTGAATACGGCCTTGCGTCTGCGCAAGCCCAGCATTACATTAAATACATATAGAATTATAGATTACCGCTCTACTATAGTTTCGATATTATTAATTAAAACCTGTGCGCTCGCGCATGCTGTGCAGCTATCTTAAGAAATTGATAAAAACAGTCCTTTGATTGCTTTACTTTTTTATATTTAAATGACGATTCATCTACGTATTAAGTACTGTCTGTATAAATTAAAAATCGATTATAAATTGAAAAAAAGTAGGATTCGGCAGGACTTGAACCGACATTCACAGCGTTCCGTGCTGGTGCTTTAACCAATTGATACTGTCTGTAGTTCACACATTTAAATAAAACACTTTTAACGGTTTGAATCGCAGAAAATGACACTGATAAAGTAGAGGCCATCGTGAATTCTTTGTGTAACCCAGCTTGTTTCAAATATCGATTACGAGGAAACAGTTGGCATTAGCTTAGCAGATTTGTCTTTTACATTAAGGACCCCTTCTAACGTAAATTAAAACAAAAGTGATTTTAACTATTTTCAACTTTTTACTGGTTTAAAGGTAGTGGAAGTATACTTGTTCACGGTGTAGTGTTCACGCGCTTTATGCAATGGATTTAGACAGTAATAACAAAAAAAAACAAATACCTATATTATCTCTCACGGCCAACAATTTCCGCGGAAAAAGTTTTCACTATTAACATTTTATTAGTACTAGATGTTTATTAATTGTTATTATAATCTTTGACTCGTGTTATCAGACTAAACACTAATAATTATAATTTATCGCGGATAATTATATGGTTCAATAGCTATCTTACTAAAACATACTACTTTGTTAAGACATTAGAACTAAGTAATTGTCTTGATGTCGTTTACTGCTTAATTATTTGAAACCTTTATTATTTTTTACATGATGTTAGTTACAAAAATTAAAAATCAATGAAATCAAATTTGACACGCTAGCTCAATTGGCAGCAGCACGGAACGCTGCGGTTTCTAAATACATTTTCAGTTTATACCATTAAATTGAAAAATAAAGCTAACTGCTTTATTTTCCATTTATTTGTAATGTTACTACATGGTTTACAAACTAGCTACATACACATAATGTACTACACATTGGCTTGCAAATTAAGTCGTTCGATATACTCGTGTATCTTGGAAGTAAAATAGTTAAATAGAAAAAAAACCGACCAGTTCCGTAGAGGTTCCGTACTATCGACTAGGTATATAACTGTCGTGCCTATTGTTTCTTTATTTATATTAAGTGTTTACTTGTAACTATTAATTGATCGAGCATATAGGAATCGCTTCTATTGTATTGAAAACATTTCAATTTGTTTTTAATTGTTGTTACAGCTATCAGAATAATAAAGACACCTGGTCACCAATTACCGTTCACAGATCCAAAACCCATAAAGTCATTCGCGTTTCGGATTCCGTGGATTTCTCATTGTCAATAGTGAGAATGGGCTGGCGGCGCATTTTATAATGAACATGACAATTTACATCAGAACTTATATATTACAAACATTCCCTATAATAATACAAACATTCCCTATAATAATACAAATTATTCTTCGTTCGCACCAAATAATTATTATATTATCACGTTGTCTCTCATGGGACAAGGGGGAATTTTACTGTGTCCACTGATCAATTTTATTTATGGCTATGTAGTTGAATGGGCTTCTGTGCCCTGCCGAAATACTTTTTTGTTTACTACGTTTAAGCTATTGAGGCGGTTCTATAAAGAGCAATGTATAATTGTATAAATTGTGAAAAAGTAATTAAAGATAAGACAATTCTTTGGAGGAATAGTCAAGTTAAAATAAACAATTGTATTGCTTTGTAAATTTCATTACATAGTTGAAACAGACAATTTAACTTACAATTACAGTAATTAATAATTAATTATCTAAAGGTAAAGACATTGAAAGTGTAGATTTTTAATCAATTCCTTTTCATAATTTTATGTGTTTGTAGAATAAAGAAATATATTTTTTTAAATACATCCACAAAGTAAAACTTACTGTGATAAAAAAACGTGTCGTCACCTTTACTTATTCACACTCTTTATATGCATATCGTTTGTTCATATGCCAACTAACATACATAAATAATATATAATGATTATCGTATTTACCATATATTACCGAGATCAAACATCGCAGCATCAATATTTAAATACTTCGAATAACCGGTTAAAACTAGACAATCCGGTACGAACAAAATCACTATCATTTTGGCAATACTATCATGCTGCAGAAAGGGGCCAAGGCCTCCTTACAGAAGGCGAATGAAGATGAGAAGGCATCCTCGGATGTCCATACACACATATTCATATCCACATTCGTCCGTATATATACACACCCGTATAGATATCCAGACGAGCATATACCCCCCCTAAAACATATAAACACACTCTCAGTTATTTTTTATGCCTTGATTGATATAAACTTCTGATTAATTCTGATCTATAAAGTGTGTTAAATGTTTATTTTAGATTGATTATATTGTATGTACGCTCGTGACTGGCACGGTAGCTCAATTGAGCAATTGAGCCACCGTGCCTATATAAGCTTTAATGTGGCGCATAGAGATAAATTTATGTATAATGGTTCATTGATATAGTTGTTGTTTAATTACAGTGTGATCTATTGCCATGGACCGTTGCTAGACACGGTCCAGATGGCGGGCCTGTACAATGACTCTAAGACCTTCGTGGATATGAAGATCAAGATGTCTCCGAAGATCACGATGGAACATTTCCATGATATGATGAACAGGTAACTGAGATATTAATAAAAACAATATAAATTCTAGTTTACCCTCGTTTCGTGATTTTACTAGATATAAGTTTTGGTAGATTGGGTGTCAAACTTTGCGTTTAGCTTAAGAGGAGGTTTTGGCTTGGTACTCTTGTCAAATATTTGTACAAATTTCAAAAGGTTAAGTACAGTGAAGCAACGTAATATAATTAAATAAAACATATTGAACGGTAGAAAATGCGAAATGTTGCTATGTAGTTATACTTAAAAATTATTTTAACAATGGCCCGACGTGTCGGATGCATAATATGGAAAAAAAAAAGTTACAATGACAGTATTGTTTAATATATTGTAATTGTATTATAATATTGTAATACTGTACTTTTCAGGACAGGCTCCAGACCGACAAAGGCTGATATTTTAGAATTCGTAAATGACAATTTTGATCCGGAGGGCTCGGAGTTCGAAGACTGGAGACCGACAGACTGGAAGGATAATCCCGGTATGAAGACTAAGAAAAAGATATTTTTTTCTATGTAAAATTTTTAAACAGTAATTAATAACAAGTAATCTTATATTTTGCTCCAACTAAAGAAAGCTTAGATATTTTGATTTAACTTAGTCTATTAGAATATAGGATTAAAAACCTATTTGAAAAAATTAGGCCACGAGTGGGACTTAAACCGATATCCTCAGCTTTCCGCGCTGCTGCTCTAACCAATTGAGCTACCGTGTCCTTAGATAATTCAAGTAATTATAATCCAGCACTTCTATTCCAGCGTTTCTAGAAAAAATCAAAGACCCACTTCTTCACCAATGGGCCTCTGACCTGAATAAGTTATGGCTGCAGCTGGGCAGGAAGATGAAGGAGGACGTGAAGCAGAATCAGGATCTATATTCTATTATTTATGTGGATAACCCTTTTATCGTGCCTGGTAAGTTTGCCACCTTTTTTCTTTAACATTTCCGGGTCTATATAGTGGCTATGTGAAAAAATCCGCCATTTTGAATTTTCCTATATAGCATGTTGAAATACAATACTTAAACGGTTTAAAATGCGAAATATATTAAATAAGCTTGTTTAAAAATTATTTTTACTTAGGCCTGTTGTTTCGGCTGCTTTGTAGGTGCAGTGGTCATGGGGAGATTGCTAAAATGTCGATAAAATTATTTTGTAAGCAAGTTCAACTAATATATTTCGCGTTTTAAACCGTTAAAGTGTTTTATTTAAATGTGTACTACTCGCGTAAACTACAGACAATATAGTATGTTTACTAATATGCGAATGGTAAGTTTTACTACAAGTGAATAGAAATAACTGTTCACAGAATACTAAAAAATGGATAGTAATAGACTTTCACATGAAGTACATGTTTCAGAATTATATTATATTAATTAGAAGCATGTTGGCCGGAGGGGATCGAACCCGACCGAACACGACCCCTTGATTATTAGCCGTACATTGCTAAAATACCCTACTATACCGGCTATAAATGACACTATCTTTAATATTCTCAGGATCTGTCAGCTAAACTACCGTCAAATCTTGATCTAAGTGATTTCAGTAACCAGATATACATTTCAGGTGGTCGTTTCCGTGAGTTTTACTATTGGGATTCTTATTGGATCATAAAAGGACTTCTCCTCTCCGAGATGCACTCAACGGCCCGCGGGATGGTCAGCAATTTTCTGGATGTAGTCGATAGAATCGGCTTCATACCCAATGGTGGAAGAATTTACTATAAGATGAGGTTTGTATACTTTAATTATTATTACACGCGGACGAAGCCGCTGACATAATGAACTTATCTTGGAATTTAGAGATCATCGAGTTGATCTTATTTTCAGATCTCAACCGCCACTCTTGATACCCATGGTGAAGTTGATCATGGATGATTCTGGGGACCTAGAATATTTAAGACAGCACATACACACTTTGGATCGCGAGTTTGGTTACTGGATGACAAACCACACTGTTGAATTTGAACACGACGGGCAAAGGTAATAATATAAACTTGTATATTAAACATATAAAGATGTCATATTATTTATTATTTTCTATCGGGGATCACCCATTTCCCTATTTCCTCCTTCCAAAGGTTGCAATAAAGATGTCATAATTATTATTGTTAAATTCGTTCCATATATTTAACACAATGTTAAAATTTTTGGTACTACTTGTAATCTAATGAGGGTAGATTGAAAATCAGCGCTTAGCTTAGCGCAAATTTGATGCCTTTGCACTAAATTTAAAATGATAGTTTTTTTTGTAATTCTTTTAATTTTTTTTATAATTAATTTTAGTTATAAATTACAGACTTTGTGAATAAAATTTATTATTTATTTATCTATGTATTGTTTGATTGCTTCGTTACGTAATGCGTTACGGTGCCATGAAGTTAAAACTTAACAGACGACTTTTATTTATATGAAATACTTGCATAATTATTAAAATAAATACTTAATTTCAAAAGCACAATCTAATTTTTTTTTATTATCTATTATAGCACGTATATTTATTATTACAGCTACCAGCTAATGCGTTACACTGATATGTCCCAAGGTCCCAGACCTGAAAGTTACAAGGAGGATATTGATTGTGCTAGGTAAGTATATAGTATATATTATCAGGGTATCCTGGGGTCCTGGACTCTTTTTTCACTTATGGTTTCCATTTTTGTCTTTCAAATCTTAAAATGTGGCCGGCACAGCGCGATTTTAAAATTCAACTTGTTCTTTTTGCATCTTTGAATTTTGTGTAAATTTTCAAGTCTTATAATCTCAATTTGTCTTTTCTCTTTACTCCTACTACACATCTTTCCACGCTATTTTGGCACACTTTTATTTTTTCTATTAGTTTAAGTAATAAATTATTTTATATTTTAAGTTAAACTTATAGATATCAGATAAAAACTACTGTTTAAAAATCGCAAATTAAATTGAAAAACATGTCGACTCGGGTAGGACTTGAACTGGCATCGCCAGCGTTCCGTGCTGTTGCTGCAGCTCTGTTGTGCATCTCTTTGGTTTTTAACTTTATAACAGCAGAAGGCTATATTATTTTATTTAATATTCGATACCTCTTCTTTTATTTATAGGGCTTTTATTACACAAACGATCAAAAATACGGGTAGATTCTTCGCGTTTCTTAATCAATAATTCATCTTTCAGACATTTTGACTCAGCTGACAAAAAAGAGGAATTATATGCTGAACTAAAAGCGGCTGCGGAGTCTGGTTGGGACTTCTCGTCCAGGTGGTTTATTTTAAACGGAACCAATAAGGGTATGTTACCTTTTGTAATTCCCCAAATTTCCACAGTCAAATGACTAAGTTGAGCTATATTAAGCTAAACAATATAGCTTTGCACTGTAATCGGTGGAGATTTTGTAGATTTTTTACTATGTTCTTTTTTCTGCAATAGATTACTTCTAGAGTAGAACTTACACTAATACTTCTTGATGGAGACAGTATTTTCCCGCCAAAAACATTAAAGACCCCTGGATAAGGATAAAGATTTTATGATAAGTTTCCTTTTGAATTTAAACTGTTTTCAAACCGAAATATATAATTTTACCACGGCCCGTCGTTTCGGATTCTTTGCAGCAGTCATGGTTATGGGGGGACTGAAGAGGAGGGAGGGTGCCTCTAATAATAAAGGCAAATCGTTGCGCTAGCGCCATCTATGGGATAAGTATCCGGAAATTATAACGAACGAAAAATAAGTAGACTGCAATATTTCGCGTTTTAAACCGTCAAGAGTTTTATTTAAAAGTGTACTATTTGGGAAACTACAGATAATACTTTTATTAAACGCTTCTATTTTTGCATTACAGGGAATCTAACGAACCTAAAAACCCGTTCGATAATTCCTGTCGACCTCAACGCCATCATGTGTTGGAACGCGGAACTAATGGCGGACTTCCACGCTCGACTCGGGAATATGGCTAAGTCCAGTTACTACAGAGATGTGCACGCGTCCCTTTTACAGGCTATCGAAAATGTATAAAACCATATGCCATAACTTTTATTAATATAATATTAGTTCTGGCGTCATATTCTTGATTGATATTTGACTTAACAAATAGTTCATTTTGTGGTTCTGACCTTTTTATACCACATAAGCCATACCTCGCCACATTACTATAAAATAATACTAAAAAAATAAGCAGTATTTTCTAGTAGGAGACATAATATATTTCTTACAATAGCTAATTATCCTTTAATTCTAATTAAATTAATAGTTTGCAAATACAAGGTCAAATGGGTCGACGGCGCATCTTATTTAGATGTTGTATGGCAGGGGGTGATCACCTTCGAAGTGAACGATGCTTCTCTGTCCTCTATCATAAAAAAAAACTCAATATTCCTGTAACATTTTGCAGGTTCTCTGGCATGAAGACGTTGGTGCTTGGCTTGACTACAGCTTGGAGTCACAGAGGCGAAGAGATTACTTCTACCCTTCGAACATAGCCCCATTGTGGACTGGATGCTATGACCGAGCCCGGAAGGAATATTACGTGAACAGAGTTATTAATTATTTGGATAAAGTCAAGGTAGGGGCAAGTTAAGTTTTATGCGGCTCTCATTTATAAAGCTGAGGAGGTAGTTTGCAAAAATATATAATATGATGCCTTAAATAGTCGCGAGCACATATTCGAATAGGGAGACTCCCCGTGACCACGGCTGATGCAAAGCGTCCGAAACATAGGGCCGTTGTTAAAATAATGTTCAAATAAGTTTAACTAATATATATCGTTATTATATTGTAAACCTTTGCATACTAAACAACGCGAATGCGACGGAAACCCTCGAAGATAAATAATTTTCTCCGTTTTCTCACATTTCCCTCTTTTTCTTCGCTTATATTGGCCACAAGCATACTTTTATAGCCTACTTCGATAAATTAACCCATTTGAAACACTGGTTAAAAATGACACCTCTTAAACTCTACAATATTACGATAGGTAGTTATTAGGTACAATATGTTAATAAAATCGACACAATGCCATAAATAATATGTGAAAAACATTAAACTTTTCAAACCTTTCAATGTATTTCAGGTGGACATCTTCGAAGGCGGTATACCAACTACATTTGAGCATTCCGGTGAACAGTGGGACTACCCAAACGCATGGCCCCCCCTACAATACATATTCGTAGTTGGACTAGACAATACCGATTTGCCCGAAGCGAAACGTCTAGCTAACGAATTGGCAACCAAATGGGTCAGGTCCAACTTTGAGGTGTGGAAACAGAAAACTGCTATGCTGGAAAAGGTGAGATTTTTCATGGTGTTTATAAAAAATGTGTTCGAATTCCGGGAAAACGTTTTTTTTTTGGTCTATAGAAATATGTTCGTCCCATGGCCCACACGGGGACACGGGATGTTATTATTTAAAAATCTTAACTATAAACTGTGTTTAGCGTTGGCAGTTGTATGGATGGTTAGGACCAAAGCGAGGGCTTTGAATCCTGGGAAAAACATATAAGAATGTTATTATGACGACCTTTCTTTTAGTATGACGCAACAATATTTGGAGGTTTCGGCGGCGGTGGTGAATACGTTCTGCAGACGGGCTTTGGCTGGACCAATGGGGTTGTGATGGCTCTCCTAAACAGATATGGAGGTAAGTCCCTGTCATACCCTTAGGAATAAAAAGGTATGAAGAATTTAAGATCACGATTAAACATATTTCAAAGTTATCTTGCCACTAGCTTAATCAGCGACTTCGTCCGTGCGTACAATGCTTTCCGTTTAGCGTCCTTAATTACGAAATTAGTTACTATATGTAAGACAGAGATTAAGTAATGTTTTAACGGTTTAAAACGCGATAAAGATTAGTTAACTTATTTTAAGCTCTGATTCGACATTTCGAATGCTTTTCAGCTATCGTGGTAGAGTTCAACATTATTTAACGCGTTTTAAACGACTAAAATAGTTATTACCAAATGAATGCTTCACAAAGTTAATATCACTTAGTTGGAATGATCTTACGATGATCTTGGGTTTTTCATAATCCATTTTATTAATGATGGTGATAGATGTGGTGATGGGTAATAGTATACTTACTGGAATACAATTCAATTTGATAACGCTTGTAAACTATCTATTTCTTATTTATATTAATTTTCATAAAACAGATCATTTATTATAATTTTGTTTTCATCTTCCACGGAAGTTGGTGGGTTAGGTATGGTATACAAACATTAAATTTTATATATTATGTACTTATTTGGTAGAACGTGTTACCTAGGTGTTTACTCACATTTTCATATTTCTGTCAGTTTTTTTCGGTAAATTTTAAATTTCAACGTTTAAAACTGAAAATTTGTCTCAATAAAACACTTTTAACGATTCAAAACGTGGTATTTATTAATTTACCTACGTTTTGACTTTTTTAAGACTTTGCAGCTTAGCTTTAACCTATATATTTCGCGTTTCAAACCGTTAAAAGTATTTTATTCAAATTTTATTGTTCAGTAGATTGAGTCAATGTTTTAATTATATCTATATCACTTGCTTTTGTCGGCTATAGAATTTTGTATAAATGGATAGTTTATATCCTAGATATCGTGGGTTTGATTCCCACCGGGACCAAAATGCTTGTAAATCATTTTCACTCTTTTAAACGTTAGAACCGTCACACAATTATACACTGACGGAAATCAGTGAAAATCTTCAGTTTGTCTGCAGATTTCCGAATTTAAAATAGGCCGGTAGCACATTTTTCTTAGATTTGACCGGCTCGATAGTGTAATGGTAGCACTTTGCAGTAATAAACAACGGGTAGTGGATTCGATTCCCACCGAGTCCAATGAGTTTCTACGCAATTTAGATTTTTTCTGGACTTCGTTTGGAAAACTGGATATTATTATTAAATTGGTGATAGGAATAACGAAATTCCGTCCGTTGAACCACCCGCCACAGATGGCAAAGTTGTGAAGTTTAATCGCGCTTCACCCTGTGGATTTCCGAATATCCAAAGCAAAAATAGGCCGACAACGCATCTTGCTGAGATGTTATGTGGCTGGGGTATTTCAAACGCATTTTTCATTTATCTTTATTAATAACCCTTTTGCAAGTATAAAGAAACAATTATATAATTACTTAGTTTATGTGTATATAATTATTATTTCTAATTATTATATTATATCGACATTTGTTTACATATAATCATAATATGTTAAAACTATTCTTTTCTTGAAGTAATTGAGTTTTAATGAGAATATTAAAATACTCTTTTGTATGTCTTGTTAAGTATTTTATTGCTTTGTTATTTAGCTTTGATGAATTTAATTAATTAATTATTTTTTTTTATATGCCTATAACAATTTTATCATACAAATATTGATGAAATACTTAACATATAACTGTTAACAAATAGCGTTTATTGTAAGATATAATAGTTTAAATAAAACATTCTGAATGTTTAAAACACTTTAACGGTTTAAAACGCAATATATTTCAGTTAAACTTATTTGAAATTTACTTTAACTACGGCGGACGTTTCGGATTTGTAGCAGCCGTGGTCACGGGTGCTGCTAAGTTTATTAAATCCGTACTACTCGCGTAAACTACAGACAGTATTTAGTTTGAAACATTTTAAATTGAATTTAACTACGGCCCGACGTTTCGGATGCTTTGCAGCTGTACGGGTTGGGCCGTATTAAAAAAAAACACAAATAGTTTTCGCGTTTTAAACTGTTAAAAGTGTTTTATCTACAGACACTTTATAAATATAATTGTTGCCTATTTCTTCTGTATCTAATTTATTTCTTTTCTTTTCTTGTCTCTGCATGTTGGGCGGCTATAGACTGATGGGTTTTAAAGCTTATTGGTATGATATGCATGAACGGTGATGTGGTATACTGAAGAATGTACTAAAACTTTTTTTTTATTAACTAGATGTTTTAGCATATCTATGCAAGTATGTTGATATAGAAGTTATAGAAAGAGACAGATAGAAGTAACAGAGAGAGACTACTTAGTTTGTGGTCTCTTAAAAACGGCGTAGGTCGCGTAACGCATTAAGCTGCGTCATGCGTTAACATGATAGGTATAGTATACAAATAAAGCAATTAGCAAAGCATTGGTTTGTCAAATATGACAATATTGCATTTCTACAATAGTTATCGCCGTAACGCGTAACGCGTGACGCTGTACACAAAATACGCAGTGTGACTCAAAGCCTAAAGATGAGAGTTGTTCTAGTTCCCCCCCCCAGGCCACGAAAAGCGACGCATCACCGCCACTCTTCTAAAAAAATTTCAATATTAAACCGATTGTAAATTAAAATGTTTTGTCACCAAAGATTCTCTCTCTTTCTTTGAGTTCCCTGTCTCTTTCTATTGTAGATGTATGACGTCATATGCTTACTAGGGTATAGTACTGTACAAACTTGCCTATTCTGTTTCCAAGTCTATCTCTTCTTGTGCCTAACAAAGATATAAAACCCATGAGTCTAGAAGCGCCCGCCGTAGCGCATTGCGCTAAGGTGCTTGGTGCTTTTTGACAGATACTATCTCGGCAGCTGACGCGTTCGGCACAGGCGTCGAATCTGGTGCGGTGGTCGGCGCCCAAGTTGGAGCTGGAGGTGTCGCGACGGCACTACTGGTTGTTTTAGCGTCTGTGGCCGCCGGTGCTTTGGGGTGAGGTATGTATCGATGTTTTTTATATGACATGTAATTAAATTTAAATAAAACACTTTAATGGTTTAAAACGCGATATATTAGTTAAACTTATTTGAAATGATTTTAAACTTCGGCCCGACGTTTCGGATGCTTTGCAGCAGCCGTGGTCACGGGGAGACTAAAGATGGACGATGTGTCTGATTTCAAAGTAAAAACTGCTACTCTAGCCCCATCTGTTCCATCGAAGTTGATATTTCGCGAAACTAGTCACGCAATTAGAATTATTTGACAATTAAAAATAATTGTAAAATAATATTAATTAATATATATCGCGTTCTATACCGTTAAAGTGTTTTATTTAAATGTGAACTACTCGCGTAAACTACTGATATTGTGTAATTTATAGATATTTAACACGTTACCTAACATCTCTAGAGTTCAAATTGAGATAATTTGTTTGATTTGAGATTTATTAGTTTGTCCAATGTCTATACAAAAATCTAAATTTTAAATATATATTGTACTGAAACATTGCAGTCATTATTTGTACCCCTAAAAATCAACGACTTGTAACAGTCAGTAGACGTCAATTGTTAAAAGATTGTTTTCTCTTTCCCACAACACTGTATAATAGACAAGGACAAATCAAGGACAAGGACTAAACGGTGGATAAGCATAGATAATAAAGCTTAGTTATTTTATAACTTTGTCTATGTTTTAAATATTGTCTATGTCTTAAATAATGTTGTCAATAAAAAATGTTTTTTTGTTTCAGATATTATTTCTTACATTTGATACCAAAACGAGGCGCATATAAGTAAGAATTTTCCATTTTATTTTAATTTTTAATACGTACTTAGTGTATAGGGTATGTAATAAGAACGGTTTGAAACGCGATTTGTATTAGTCACAGTTAATACTGATTACGGGGAATAGATAGCGTTAGCGAGCAGATTTGACTTGACATTATGGACTTATCCGAACCTGTTTTTGATCGCGTTTTAAACCGTTATAATGTTTTATTAACGGCGTAATCTACACTTAGGGTATGTAAGTCGCATTACAAATATTTCATTTTTGGATATTTTAAAGGAAAAGTAAGTACGATACCATGAAACGTAACCATTTAGTTATAATAAAAATAATTATTATTTAGTTAAGTTTGAACAGTACTTTAATATTATCTTTGCATTAGCTGTGAAGTAACCAGTATTATCCTTTTAAATGAAATATTTTAACGGTTTAAAACGCGATATATTTTAGTTAAACTTGTTTGAAATTTATTTTTAACTACGGCCCGACGTTTCCGATGCTTTGCATCACCGTGGGCACGGGGAGACATCCGAAAAGTCGAGCCTTAGTTAAAAATAAATTTCAAACAAGTTTAACCAAAACATATCGCGTTTTAAACGGTTAAAGTGTTTTATTAAAATGTGTACTACTCGCGTAAACTACAGACAGTATTTCAGTATTATCCTTTTTTTAAGTAAAGTTTAATTTAAATTAAAGTTCTGTTCAAAATGTTACTTCTATTTACTTAGTATAATTGTAATAAAACATAGTAATTATTTATTATTATTTTACAATCTGTACTTAAGATTTATGTATGTGATATAAAATAAAATTCGCTTCTTTATCTACTATATGTAAATATTTAATTATTTCGAAACATGTTCAATGCACTTATTACCTGTAAGTGAAGGGTTCCGTATAATCTATAAGGACGAGAAAATCGTGTTACTAACAAAGGAGTACCTTTATATATTTTCTAGCTGCGTCAGCGACTTTGTCCGCGTAGAATAGTTATTTTACATCCAAAATTATCTTTGCAAACCTCCTCCCTATCTTTATGAATTTATGCTGTTACACACGACGTCGGCCACTTCCCGTCGTTCTTGAAAGTTAATCTTAAAAGATACAAATATAGCGATGTCGACGTTTTTTTAGATTGCTTAAAGAGCAATAATTCTTTTATAAAGATTTTCTGGGTAACTTGAACCGTTTTCGCACCGTACGCAATGGAAACCCACAAAAATGAATAATTTTATAAAAAAAATCACGTTTTTTCGATATCTCTCGCTGTTTCTTCGCTCCTATTAGTCACAGTGCGATATTTTACAGCCTATAATAGCCTTCCTCGATAGATGCTCTAAGCAACACTAAATAATTTTTCAATTCGAAGGAGTAGTTACTGGGATCAGCGCGTTCAAACAAACTTCAGATTTATATATTAATACAGACTATAAATAGGGGATAGGACACGGTAGCTTAATCGGTTAGGGAAACAGCACGGAACGCTGTAGATGCCGGTTCGAGTCGTAATTTGTTCTATCTAAAATTGATTTTTAACTTAGATAGACTGTGGTATAATCGTCATAGGGTTCTTGATTCGCCAATTGTGAACAGTACTTGCTGTTTCGTTTAAAAATAAAGAATTAATCAACTCCTGAGTTGCTCTTCCTCCTTTGTTCATCAACAAATTGCATAACTGGATATAAGACAGATCAATTTAGTACCGGATAGATCCGCAAATGACCGGGAAATCATATTCTAGATGGTGCATCCGCTGGTATTTTTACCCTAACCATGTCGCAGTTATGTAATATTGCGTCATGGTATACTGTGCTTGTACTGCACTGAGCCTCCGTAACTGGCTCAATCACGGTATACTGTAGCTCAATCAGGTATACTGTAGCTCAATCACGGTGACACGGTAGCTCAATTGGTTAGAGCAACGTCACGGAACGCTATGGTTGCCGGTTCAAGTCCTGACGTGTTGTAAATTTTTTTCAATCTAAAATCGATTTGTGCTTTAGAATGAACTTACTATAGCTCTCGATTTCCGCTCACTAATTTTGTCGTTAAAACCCACCAAACCGCTTTTTATCAGCGTGGTGAGTTTGGCTCTGTGTGATCTGTACCCAGCAGTAGGTCATTAATAACGATACACAATTGCCCAAATTATAGTCTTAAATTTGACAAGCGGACATTAGGGAAAAAAAACACATTTTTTCAGTTTAGAATCGTTTTTATTTGTGTATATTCTAAAATCTAGATTTCTATAATACGAAAAAAAGAACTTCACAATTATTAGCATTATACGGATGATCCAGTAATTCCTTAGTATGTTTATACGAGTATAGAATAGATTTACCGTGCGGCTAGTCGATTAGTCGGGCAAGTCTGCGGCTGATGATATGAAAAATATGAACATAACATTAATTTAAACAGTAATTACTGACTGTTTAAACAAAAATATTAAACACGTACTTTTAAGACCTCGAAAGTTAACACATCAATTAAATATCAAACATGCTGGAATAGTCGTTACTTTTTGGAATTAATCGCAGACTCGTTCATCGCAGTACAATAGTCTCGAACAACTAATCGAACAATAGCCTGGGGTAACAAACTCCTTATTAAAATTTACATAACAAAAACAAACAGTTTTATCTTTGTTTGTTTACTGTATACCTGTCTGTAACGGGGTTTTACCAATCTCTTGGCCTTGTTCACTAACATTAAAATGTAGACTACTTTCGAATCTTAACAATTAAATGTTTAATTTGGGTATAAAACCCAATACTGTCTATAAACTTGTATTAGGGTCTATGTTTTATGATAGAGGAGATGGGGTGGATCAGAAATCCACAGACTGAAATCGAAACGGTAAAATACCACGGCTTTATAATCTGCGGACTGCGGTTCGTGACCCGAACGAATTTTCGATACTATTAACACTCATTTCATATCCAGATTCCTAATGAAGTGAAGAACGTGTTTCAGAAAAGTTGTATTTCGCTGGTTGTTGGAGACGGTGGGGATCGGACTCACCTTTTTGATGACTATTCGCCGTATATTGCTATTAGACCATCGGGCATTTAAAAAATAACACTGTGTGTCGCAGTGGTTGCAATTCGCAAATGTTGTTAATTATACAAAAATAATACAACAAAAAATCGTGTGGCTTGGTAAAGACTATAATAATAATTGATTTGAAATATTAGCATCGAAAAATAGCTTAGTCCCAACTCTATAACTAACATCAAATGTGTAAGGTTTTAAAAAGGCTTAAATTAAACTCTCTAAAACACTCAAAATGTAGGTTTAGATCTGAAATCAAATGAATTTACCTTTCATTAAAATCCAGTTTAAGTAATACAAATTTGTTTTTTGTAATTACAGTAAATTAAAATAAAACACTTTTAACGGCTTAAAATGTCCCTACGAACTACACGCGACGCCTCAATTTTACCCCGGTGATAAGGCCCGACATGTCAGATGCTCAGGCGTGACAACGGCCATGTCGGGTCATAGTACTAAGGATAAGTTAACCAATATATTTCGTGTATTAAACCGTTAAATGGGTTAAGTGTGTACTGCTCACGTAAAGTGCAGATAATACTTCATTCAATAATACAGTAATACAGGCATGCGTTTGCCCCATGCCCCACAGTGGGGAAAAGGGGCATCTTGAAAGGTTTTGAGTACAGGTATTCAGCGTACCGTGACATCCTTATGTGTGTATAATTATGCTCCAAGGCTAACCGATTGTAGATCCCATTTTATTTGAACATAGATTTGCAGATATGATTGTTTGCCGTGACGTCATTGGCTCTGTACCACCATGATACAACCATAGTTTTAATACAACTTACTATATAATAAATTTCATTCATTATTTCTTAAAAATCATATTAACTTATTCTATACATAAGAGCGGAAAAGTTATCGAGTCAAATTTTACATAAAGGTTACTTTTAAGCTATTACGTTCAAAACGAAAGACTATAAAAGAATGAAATAATCAATCCTTGTCTTATTTTAATAATAATGTTTAAAATTAATAAATAAAATTAAAAAAGAATTTATACCGAATGATGGCCCTAAAAAGTCTATAGTTTTCAGTACAATAAAACCAACAGCAAACAACACAATTTATTGCAATTTTAAGAGATAAAAATATTTAAATAATAAATACAAAGGTTGTGAAATTTTGATCTGAAAAAAAAAACAAAATAATTGTAGGAACATAATTACACAACAAAATTAAACAAAATATGATTGAAGGTAAATAACATTGATATTAACTTAAGCATTTTTTTAAAGAACGTAAATAATAGATTTTTTTGGATAAAATCAATATAAATTTAGTACCTTGGGTAGTGTCCATTTAGTATGTGAACCACTCGGCAGCAGACTCTTGACTGAAGTGAGAAGCATCGCGCAATCTGTAACTGCGCGTGCGCAGATTTTTATTCTTATTTTACGAGTATACAGGACGATCTGGTTGCTTGTTAAAACTGTTTGTCACTTTGTATATCCTATGAATGTTTTTTATAATAACTGGATTTTACATTGTCGATAAATAACGGTTCATGGGTTCGATTTCAGCTGGCTGTTATTTTTTTCTGACACATTTCTAGACTTTGGCAAATCTAGATATGAAATGCGTGGTAGAAATATCGTAATTACGTCCGGGTCACGAGCCATTGTCCACAGATAGGAATGGCGTGAAGCGTAGTCGCGTTTCGGTTTCAATCGGGGGATTTTCGAATGTTTAGTTAAAATAGGACAACAGCGCATTTTTTTTAGATAGGTTAATTTACCTACATAATTAGTGAGAAGTGTTTACATTAAGTTTTAAGTCAAGTTTACAATATTTGCATAGTAATGATTTATTTGCATATAATGATTTACATATCAAAAAGAAACAATCTATGGTAATTGCGTTGAATATGGTTACTTGTTACAAGGTTGTTTTGGAGGGCAAGAGTATGTTTGGAGGGGACTTCCAATTTCATGATTTTGAAATATTTGTTCTGTGTGTCTATGTATCCTCATATACAAAAGGGTTTAAGGGCTATGACCCACCACGCTGCTCCGGGGTGGGTTGATAGACTTTAACGATTAACAAACCTAATATTATGTGGTACGATGGTGGTGTTGTGTGGGATCGCTTAACATGCTCTGTACTGGGGTAATGACAACTCTTACTAATAATTTTAAGCACTAGTTTAAATAATACATTTTAACGGTTTAAAACGCGAAATATATTAGTTAACTTATATTAAGTAGGGCTGACGTTTTGGATGCTTTATAGCTGTAGTGGTCACGGGGGTCAAAATGGGTATCCCTAGTGTCAAAGTCAAATCTGCAATCAGCAGCAGATAGATAAACATAAGTTAACTGATATAATTCGCGTTTTAAACCGTTTAATGTGTACTTCTCATGTAAATTACAGACAATACTTAATTTAGGCACTAGTCACTAACTAGAATAAAAATGTTATATCTCATTGTATGTTTCGAAATAATTTAATTTATTCTGCATAAAGTGCACTATGTAAGTCGTGTTAATCAAGTCGGTGAGGTCGGTAGTTCGATCCTCGGTCGTGCACTAAAATATTTTTCCGATGCGTGCATGCGGCATATCATCAATTAATAATTTAAAGGCTTATATGCCTTTAGGCATTTCATCCTTTAAATTATCTTGGGCCTGTGTCCCAGCTGTGGGACCTATACAAGGACTGATGAGTACACATAAGAAAAAATATTTTATTTATATTTATATCTTATATTAATAAATATAAAATATAAATATAAATAATATTTAATTGTCTCTTTTGGTGTACAGTCGAGTAAAAAATGATAACAAATCTAGGAAATCCCGACTGCAAACAAATCGTGACACATTTGTACTTGACATATGCGAATGTCAACAAGGCGTCATATGGGAGGCAGCTGTAAATTGTAAACAGATAAAAAACATTTTACATAACAGTTACAAAACTATCGCTTGTATTTTATATATACACTAGCTTTAGCCGCGAGTTTGTCCGCGTAAAACAGTTATTTTGGGCGTCCAAATTTGTTTTGCGATTCCGTAATTTAAACTGTTACCCACAACGGTCGCGTCCCGTCGTCCTTGCAAGTTAATCTTAAAAGAAAGACGTATAGTGTCGTGGACATATATATACATATTTTTTTGGGATCTTGAACCGTCTCTGTAGCCAAATGGTTAAACTTATTGCCTAGCATTGCGTTATGCGTAAAAGGTCCTGGGTTCGAATCCCAGGGGAATAAAAAAATTGTTCCGTTGGGTTCAAACACGGAAGTCTGGTCAACTACTTGCCTGTTAAAAAAACACCAGTGAAACGGACTTGTTGGTTTTTAATTTTTTTTTTTTTTTTGAATGGACTCTTACGTATTGTTTTCTAAGGAGCCACGAATACTAACCGGGCGTTTTGGGCGAGCGCGATAGCGCTCGCCTCAAGCAATGTACATGTGAAAACATAAATGTTTTCAATTAATTACTAGTTGTAATAAAGTATGTACTTATTACTTCATTTGTTTTGTGTAAAACAAATGAAGTACCTTGTCGAACCTTGATATTCATGAAGTCAGGTGTGTACCTGACTTCATGAATATAAACCAAGGTTCGACACCCTGAATAAAAACTGTCTTGGTGTACATTTTCCGTCCTTTTGCATAAATATTGAATACAAGATATTATATATCTTAATTCGCGTCGCAACTTTTTTAAAATATTATGTGAAAAATAATTTAACATCTCTACATTTGATTACAGGTTGATGGTGTACAGAAAAAGAAAAGATTACACTCCACTTACGAACGGTGAAGATCTAAAGTTGCTCTCCCGCAAACCGTACACCGAACTACGGAGTCTGAACGGCACGACCGACGCGAGACAGCGGTGAACAAAACATCCCCTACCATTGACAGATGCGAGTTGAGTGAGAGGCGAGAGATTCCGAATACTTATTTTTTATAAGTGTAAGCGCAAGGCGCTGTAGATATTAGATACAATACTTTGTGTTTCAACCTTCAACGATATGAAATATAACGTTGCTACTGATTAGCCAAACTGAAAGGTAGAACAGGTTTTATATAAATTAAAAATCGATTAAGAATTGAAAAAAAAGATTTTTAATTTATACAGTGCCATCATGTGCGACATGTGAAAAATATTAAAGAATTCTGTCAAAAATTAACTTTACAGATTTCATAATCTCATATTAGTAAAACCGGTATATTTTATATTCACGCAGTTTATTCTCGATACGTCAGTCAGCTCAGGACCTATGCTCAATATTATGTTTTCTCGAAGTCCTTTCGAATCGAGAACCGATGGTAGGGCTTTTCTAAGCACATTTAGGAGTACAAACTGGTGATAAAGCTGGATTCGTTAAAAGTTTTTAAAGGAGTTTGTATTATACCAGTCTTCATCGTGCTGTGAATAAAACTCTCATTGTATATAGATAGATTTTTATAGGCGTTGCTTATTATGTACAGGTTAGCGCGACCAAAAAGTCTAGATACTTGCTAATTGATCAAAGTAGTTAAGCGGCAACTATACCAGATGAATGGTTGGGCAAAAACTAGTTGGTTCAACATCTATAAAGGTTTGTAATAAAGCAATAGTTTGTATACATGGCGTCTGTATACGAAAGCGCTTTGAAATCACATTTTTATCAACATTTAACATTAGTATATACATTTAGACCATTTTTATGTATTTGACAAAAATTCTCCTGTGAAATATTAATTAATTGAGTAAGCAAGTGTTAATTTAAAAACTATGTATACTTCTAGTAATAGTATATTTGGACTATGGAACTTTACGATAATATTTCCATTGAACATTACTTGTTGTTCAGTCTAGTCTAGACTTTAGACAGTAAGACGATTAGTATCTTTTTAATAAAACACTTTAACGATTTAAAACGCGATATACCTTAGTTAAATTTGCTGTCAACGTCGGACTGTAGTTATAAAAATTTAAATAAGGGTAACTAATATACATCGCGTTTTAAACCGTCAGTGAAAAGACTAAACAACAAGTTATATTTCCGTTGACTATTACTTGTAGTTCAGTCTAGTCTAGACTTTAAACAGTAAGACGATTAGTATCTTTTAAATAAAACACTTTAACGGTTTAATACGCGATATATATTAGACAAATTTGCTTGCAACGTCGGACAGTAGTTCAAATAAGTTTAGCAAATGTATATATATTTGTTAAACTTTTTAAACCTTTAAAGTGTTTTATTTAAATAACTCGCGTAATCAGTATATCAGGAAAATAGAAAATTCCGAAAACGACATGACAGCACAAACCGTGATTCTACTATTAATAATGTAATAGGTATTATTGTTTTCGAGTATTATTAGTATTTAGTGTTTAACTATAGATTTAAGTAGACAATTTTGTTTTTATGTTATTGTATTGCATTTATTTTAAAAGTGTGATTTCAATGACGCGATTATATGTGATTTTTAGACAATTTTGCGTATATTTTGTTAGATATTTTTAATTATTTTATGTAAAAAATGAAGTGTTTTAGCAATTGTGTATTTTATTTATATCGCCGGTATCTCATATTGATTTTGTATCATCGACATTGCAAGGAAATAAATAATTTTAAAATAAGCTTTAGTATTTTTTGTGTTTTCTATAATAATCTAGTCTTATTTAACAAGACTCCCCCCCCCCCCCAAAACCCCCCCCTTTTAATAAATTGGGTGTTTTCCCTTTGGGGTTTTTTAAAGTATCGTATGCAGTTAAACTTAATTTATACCATACATTTAATATCCAGTAATAATAAAGAAAAATAGTTTTAAATTATTTTTAACACGTCGGGACATTGATCCACTACCACTGAGTCCCCTTCCGTTATTTGAGTATAACTACAATGTTCTTAAAATTATTATCTTTTTTATTTTAATTTGACAGATCCTAAAATAAATTATACAGGATGCATTTTTAATCTTCAATGTGGTATGACTGCCCCCATACGATACAGGAAAAACATATTAGACTTTTCTGCCCAGCCCGATCGAAACTGTAAATTTGTTTGAGTACCAAACTCAAAACGTCGATTTCGACGCAGTGCGTTTAACCATTCAATACGGTATACTTGATGCTCTGTGCACATGACGGTCTCGTTGGTCTAGTGGTAGCAATAATAAGCAACGGACCGTGGGTTCGATCTTTACCGGGTCCAAGATGTTTATCATTTTTCCGAAACTTCTTGGACTTTATCTGGAAATCTGGATATTTAAAAGGTGGTAGGAATATCAAAATGTAATAATCCAAAAAAAATAATTTGGATCTCCGAATATCCGAATCCAAAATTGGCCGACAGCATATCTTTGGATCCGATAGGCTGGGATATTTCACCATCTATCAAGATAATATTTTTTAAATATAAACTATAATAAATACCTATATTCCCCAACTATTTTTTGTCACTTGACTACTATAAAAATATCCAAAAAATAAAGGCATATATTAGTATTGTCTGTAATTAATTGTTTTGTTTAAGCATATCACAAAACCTATACCACAAAAGGACGAAAGGTTAAAAAATGCAAATGTTCTTATATCTTATATTCACAAGAATCCGTATTTAAACATTAAACTTAACATGCTCACGGAGCGATAAAATAAACCGTTAATAATATAATTAAATTTTAAACTAATTAAAGCGACACAATATCTGAAATATTGGGATTCATTTGTTGAATGTATTTTGGTAAGTGTGTAAGTGCAATGGACGGATTTTAACGTGTTCGTAATGACGATATTTGAAGATGTACATTTCTGGAGGCAGGTAAGACTAATATAATATTAATTAATGTACAAAAAAAGTATTAATTAATAGAAATAATAATTCACAATATGAAACGAATTGTATTATAGCGCGTCGATAAATACACCACACTTTTAAAACGATGAATTACATTAATATCCTACCGTAGTCTTTTCGTTGTATTTTTTGATTTTTGGCTACTTTTTATCCAACCTTACAAAGAGAGATGCTTCAATGCTTTGTATGTTTTCAGGCGCATTTCTTTGTAATCATTGGTCTTTCGTTGTAAAAAATCTAAGTCGGTATCACTTTGGGCCAAGAAACATTTAATTTTCGCGTTTCACTGTGTACCCTTTGAAGTAGATTATTTTTAGTAAATTCTAATTATAGATAGTTTAATCGCGTTTTGGTTTCAGTCTGTCGATTTTCGAAAACCAAACCCAATATAAGTCGGCAGCGTATCTAGTTCGGATGCTATATGGGTGGGGTATTCCATATTCAAAAAGTGAAATAAATGTATCTTTTTTATGATATAGGATAGGCAAGCATGGGGCTTGCTTATCCTATATCATAAAAAAGATACATTGATTTTTTGCTTCACGACACGACTGATCGATATTTAATGGTGTAATGGCATGATCGTCATGTTTCAGAGTTTAATTCTGTTAGCAGAGAGCTTGCACTCAATCGGAATAGGCATAACACTGACCTTCTCTTCTGTTCTGAACCCAGCACTTCTTTCACAGTCTACGGATCTACGAGTGACACCAGATCAAGCATCATGGATGGGTAACGTAACCTCAATAGAATCTTAAGAAGCAAAACCTATATGAGGCTGCTAGATGCAGAGTTGCCTAATAACAAAAAACACGATATTTTCAATAAGGAGGAAAATAAACTTAGGCGAAAATCACTTTGTACTATTACTTTTGTATGAGTTATTTAAACAATTTTCGCTCACTGTGCTAGATAAACATTTTTAGATTATGAAAATATAATTAAGTCATGTCATAAAATTGCAGATAGGCTACTCTGCTTCTATCGGCCTCACATTTAAGTACTGTCTGTAGTTTACGCGAGTAGTACCAATTAAAACAATGGTTAATCATCCGCAACGCTGGGCCGTAGTTAACATAAATAAATTAACACATATAGTTTGCGTTTTAAACCATTAAAAGTGTAAATACCGTCTATAGTTTACGCGAGTAGTACACATTTAAATAAAACACTTTAACGCTTTAAAACGCGATATATTAGTTATGATATATCGGGTTTTTTATTTAAACATTAAAAGTTTATTTAATTACATATGAAAATTTTTTTAGCTGCAATCCTCGGCTTTGCTGGCATGATAGGATTTTGCATAGTCCCATCGATTATGCAACGCTACGGACGAAAACCAGTACATATGGTCTTAAGTTTTTTGAACGTTGTTGGATTTACTATATTTTACAATGCTTATAGTGTAACAGCGTTGTACACCGCCAAGTTTATACAAGGATTCTCAATTTGTGGTTTCACTCTCACGGTCATCATCCTCGCGGAGTACTCAGCCCCTAAACGAAGGGGTTACTTCATGACTATCAAAAAGGCCAATGTGGGTATCGGGTCCTTAATTTGCCACTCTCTCAGCTTTACATGGAACTGGAGACAAATTGCCTCTTTCTCCGTCATTCCCTTTGCATTCGCGTTTCTAGTCACTTGTATCTGGCCTGAAAGCCCAGCGTTTCTGGCAATGAGAGGAAATTTTGCAGAATGTAGAAAATCCCATTCGTGGTTGTTCGGTGACGACGGAAAGAACGAAGAGAATTTAGAAAAACTAATTCAGGTGCAAGCTGAAAGATCAGGGGAAAAGAGGAGACTGAGTTTCGTATTACGAATCAAGAGGTTTTTTATCAAGATGAAACGAATTGACTTCTTGAAGCCATTCGCTATAGTTGCACTATTAACTGTAATGGTGGAAGCATGCGGTCGATATTATATGTTAATGTACAGCATACAAATTGTTATAGATATAACAGGGAACAAAACTGGGGCCCTTGTTTGTTCTATAGTAGCAGATTGTTGTATGATATTAGCTTTATGTATATCCGGTTTTGTTATACGTTTATTTAATAGACGCACATTATTATTTTCTTTCGGTCTTTTAACTGCTATGCTATTGTACGCTCTCAGTGTATTGTTGTGCTTAAAACGAAATTTCAATTTAGATTCTAACTGGCCAGTACTTTTTCTGTTAACATCTATTTCATTTGTGTCAAATTTAGGTATAATACCAACTGCTTTTACGATTATTAGCGAAATATTTCCTTTAGAACATAAGGGTGTGGGGGCATTTGCATCAGGGCTAATTTTTACTGGTCTCCTTGGAGTCACAGTTAAGTTTATACCTCATGTAATTGATAGTGTTGGTATGGACGGAATGTTCGCAATTTCAGGTAGCTTTCTTGTTGCACCTGTTATTTTGTTATATTATACTCTAGTAGAAACTAAAGATAAAACTCTGTTGGAAATAGAAGAAGAAATAAAAGGAATCAAACGTCAACGAGTAGGTTTGACTCAAGAAATGATGAACATTGTTAGAAAATAGGAACAGAATTTTTTTGATTTACACTATTCTGTACAAGAAAAGAATAATCTGAAGAGAAAAGAAAAAAATTAAATGGTATCTGTTTTTTATTTTTAAAAATGTGTTTCGTAAATATAGCTGAGGGTTTTTGACATACACACTAGCTGCAAGTTTTATTAAAATAATTAGAACCTATTTTGTAATAAAGAGAAGAATTATATTTATTTATATTACCAAGTACTGTAGTCTTAAATTGAGCCTTTAATATTCCTCACATGTTTGCGCTATATAAATATACAATCGATGCCGGTTCGAGTCCCACCCTTGTCGAGATATAGATAATTTCTGAAAATGTCAAAATATTAGCTATCTATTTATTGTAATAGCGCACAGTGACAGACAGACAAAACCATAATAGTATAGGTTAAATACTGTCTATAGTTTACGCGAGTAGCACACATTTAAATAAAACAATTTAACGGTTTAAAACGCGATATATTAGTTAAACTTATTTGAAAATGATTTTTAACTTCGGCCCGACGTTTCGGATGCCTTGCAGCAGCCGTAGTCACGGGGAGACCGTCTCCCCAATTATTTATATTAATTATTTGCGAAGGCTAAAAATTAAACGCATACACGTATTTGGAAGCCGCTCCAGCTGGTCAAGCTGGAGTTCAGTTAAATTAGAGAATGAGGCATCAGCATAGCCTAGAATGGGGAGTAAGAGAGACTGGGCAAGTGAAACTTTTGTAGGGATGGGAAGGAAATATTGTAAGCGTTTTAGGGAGTGCGAAGCGCAATAAATTTTTTTGCTTAACTGGTTCAGGTATCCTTATCTGAATTATCTGGCCTATGTTAATCGCGCATTTTATTTTGCTCTTTGTTGAAAATCATGTTTATTTCTAATTAGGCCAATTTACCTCTAGCAGCCCCATATTGTTACTGAAGATATTTTATTAAAATTATTTATATGTGAACCTAATAAAAAGTCATAATTAATTCGCGACAAAATATCTGCGATAAGGCTCTAAACCGGTTTAGTAATTGTACGAGTGAACACTAACAGTTGTGAAAAAGTTGCTACTCACATATTATGTTTTAAAATGTCTTTCTTTCAAGACACGTATTTTTGGAGGCAGGTAAGTCTAGCAAAAATGTAAGTACTAATTGTAGTACTCATTTAATTAAGCCACTTATAACTATTTAAAACGCGAATCTATCAATCAATATATTTTTACTAAAGCCTGACGCTGCTGCAGTGTGGGGGGGGGGGGGGGGGTAACAGATAACGATAAAAGTGTTTTATTTAAAATTATATATATGCCCCAAACGATTTTTGTCATTAGAAATTAGTATAATCAGCTAAACAACGATTTTACTAAATGAAACGTTGTCAAGCAAAAATTTGACAATCGTAACTCGTCATAGTGAAAATTCTGCGAAACGTTTTTGGCATGAAGGCAGAGATCCGAGTGTAATACATACTATTCTTGTTAGAGCGGGTTGCTCCAAGCATGAGTGACATTAAAAGGTTGAAACAAAATTTGATCATTTATTTCTTAATTTGTAGTAATGTGTTTTTTTTAGAGTCTAGTTCTAATCGGGGACAGTATACATTCAATTGGAACTGGTTTTATGTTAAGTTTCTCTTCTGTTCTGAATCCAGCTCTTCTCTCTCCAAACTCGACTGATATTAGAGCTACTCCAGAAGAAGTTTCATGGATCTGTAAGTATTTTATTAATATTAGAAATATGTATTTCAGTTATGTGTATGTATCCATCTTGGGTTCGATCCCTTTTGAGGTAAATCTCGTTATCTTGCTTTGATAAATCTTTACAAAAAAGCGTTTCTTAAAATGCTCAAATACATTGTTTGTTTCTTTCAGCTGCAAGTCTGGGCTTTGCCGGGATGATCGGCTTTCTAATCATCCCTCCTATTTTCCAGTACTTTGGGAGAAGGCCCGTCCACATAGCCCTCAATAGTCTGGTCGCACTTGGATTTTTAATATTGTACTTTTCAAAATCGACAAGGGATTTGTTTGTAGGTAAATTTGTGCAAGGCATAGCCACATGTGGAGTTACGATCACTGCCATTATTATAGCAGAGTATTCGCATCCCAAGAGAAGAGGCTGCTTTATGACGTTTAAGAAGGCAAGTGTTTCCCTGGGTTCTCTGATTTGTCATTCCTTATACTTCGCTTGGAGCTGGAGAAGTATAGCGCTTCTATCAGTCTTGCCTTACACGATATCGTCTATTATAATTCTGTTTTGGCCAGAGAGCCCAGCTTACTTAGCTATGAAAGGGAAATATGAAGAGTGTGACAGATCTCACAGCTGGATGTTTGGAGATTCCGGAAAAACTAAGAGGGATCTAGAAGAGCTAATATCGGCTCAAATGAAAAGGAAAAATAAAGATAAAAAAAGGCCCATGGAAGTCATTAGGAGAATTTTAGGAAAATTTCTACGGCGAGACTTCATGAAACCACTTCTAATTGTTTTTTTGGTCACAGTTATAATCGAGGCTTCTGGGAGATTTTATATGTTGATATACATTATACAAATTGTAAAAGAAATAACAGGAAACACTTCGATTGCTGTTTATTGTTCCATGGTTTCAGATTTAAGCACAATGGTGGCTTTGGCCATATCAGGGTTTGTTGTGAAATTCATGACAAGAAGGAATATAATTATATATTTTGGATCGGCAACAACAGTTCTGATGTATTTAATAAGCTTGCTGTTATATCTAAAAACAAAAAGCAACTTTTTGATAGATTGGGTCTGGTTAACACCAGCTCTAATAGTTGTTCACACTTTTATTAGTTACGTTGGAGTAATCCCGACGGCATTTACTATAATTGCAGAAATTTTTCCATTAGAACACAAAGGAATTGGTTCTTTCTCTGCTGGGGTACTCTTTATTGGTGGTTTCACCGTCACTGTTAAGTTAATACCAAGTATGATAAATATGGCTGGCGTCGAAGGCCTCTTCGCTTTTTTCGCGACATGCATACTGTTAAGCACAATTGCTCTATATTTTGTGCTGATTGAAACTAAGGACAAAACTCTGCAACAAATAGAAGATGAAATAAAAGGGGTCAAAGGGAGATTTCCAAAACTTATGGAACAAACCGTCTCAGAAAAAGCCTAAAAAACGAAAGACATACTTAAATAGATTAGCAATGAAGACTAAGAAATAGCTAGATATTCACTTGTACTGATGCTAAGGGTGTAGGCATAATTTTATTGAATAAACATACCATAAATATAAAAAGGTTTCTTTTATTCTACCTGTGCTTTTTGGTAACAATGATTTAACATACTACAGGCCATACTATCATTTAATCTCAGACATTATATCGATATAGCACCGAATATCCAAAGCAAAAACAGGTCAACACTACATCTTGATTATGTTATATGGTTGTATTTCATGGCCATTCAAGTCAGCCTCATGCTTGTCTGTGCGTGTATTTTCAGACGTACAAAACAACAACGAAAACAGCATTATCGTTGATTACATTTGAAAACTTCATTATTTTTTATAACATATTTGCATCGTAAAGTGGGTGTAATTACACCAATTTCAATATAGTAATGTATCTCATTACGTACTTGTGCGATAATGTAATGTAAAAGGCACGTGTTCTTTTTATTAGAAAAGAGGTTTTATGTCAAAAAAGTGGTCAATGTTTTATGAATAAAATTAACTTTGGGAAATAAAATATAACAAATAAACATTTAATTCTTTAATTTAATTAATTTTGACAATAAATTACAACTATTTATCTATAAAAAAAACACAAACATATTTATTTATTTTTTAATTTATTTAATTTACTTTATTAGTAATACTGGCTGTTTTTGTACCTTTGCCTAAAAAAAAAACGTTGATGCGCGCGCATCGCTTATTTGTGGACAAGTAACAATAATTCCGCGCGCTTTTTCTTTTCGCTGTATTGTTTTTATTTGAAAATGTCGTCATTTCCTCGTAAATATGTTATAAAACGTCGTATGACATACGTGCGCTTTCAAAATTACTGCTTCTGCTTTCTTATAGTAGTAATATTGCCTCGGCTGTAATTTTCAAGTTACTGCACTTATATCATAATGTATTATTACATGCTATTGCACATGAAGGCACTATGTAATTTTAAAAATCGAAAATAAAATTTTTGACTCGGGCAGGACTTGAACCGGCATCGTCAGCTTTCCAGAAAAACTACACTGTTTTTTAAGGATTTCACATGTAATTTTTAGTTAAGGTACATTGTACTTGCACTAATAGAACAATTTACATTGATATCATTATTTATTAGGCCAACTTTTAATGTTAACATCGAGTTGAATTAACAATTTTCTATTCACATATTAAATTACAATAACTTTTTGTTAAAACCTGTTTAAATAGGTGAACACATTTTCATAGTGTTTATGAAATAGACTTGGTACCGTGCAGTGTGTTTTGAGCATTATGAGTTGTGTCAGAGATATTTATTTCTGGAGACAGGTGAATAATAGTTCTTTTTTGCCTTATAGTAAGAAGTATCTAATAACGGCTAAAAAAGAACAGATCAATCGAATCTTGTATCTAAACTAATATATACAGCTGAAGAGTTTGTTTGTTTGAACGCGCTAATCTCAGGAACTGAAAGGGATTAAAATATTTTTTGTGCTGGTTAGACCATTTATCGAGGAAGGCTACAGGCTATAAAAGTTTGCGAATAGGATCGAAGAAACAGCGGGGCATGTGGTAAGAAATGGAGAAATTATTAATCTAAGAGGGTTTCCAATCCGTACAATGTGAAAACGATTCAAGAAATATGTACGAATGAATAAATCCTCTTTAAATGATTATAATGTACGCGACAGTCAATTTTTAAGATGAGCCTGCAAAATCGACGGGATGCAACCAACGTTTTGGGTAACAGCTAAATTTATAAAGAGGAGATTTGCAAAAATAAATTTGGATGCCCAAAATAACCTACGCGGACGAGGTCGCTGACACAGCTAGTTTGTAATAGTAAGGTGGTGACAATAAATTATTTGTTTGATTGTCAAAGAAGAATTAATGCGATTGTTTACAGTGCCTAATCCTTATCGGAGAATGTTTGCATTCAGTCGGCTCGGGGTTTTTACTCAGCTTCTCTTCTGTTCTTAACCCTACTTTACTCTCGGCGAACACGACGGACATACGAGCCACACCCGAACAGGTGTCGTCGCTTTGTAAGTTTTATTTCCTATATAATTTTAAATAAGTAATTTGTTGTATGAATGATACGTTCCCTTACCTTAGGGTCTGATAAGATGTTTTTGTATGCGAGAGGGAGTTTGACAGACGGGTTTTGGCGACTTATCTTTGCACTACACTAGAATTTCAATTATGTTGGGTTCAGGTTTTCTTTAAATTTTGTTTATCCTTTATAACCTAAAGATAAGTCGATACCATAATAAAATTTGAAGTAAGCATATACTGCATTACTATTTATTAATGGCAACATTTTTTCAGCTGCAAGTCTCGGTGTTTCTGGCATGCTTGGATCCATTATAATTGCGTCGTCATTCCAAAATATCGGTCGCAAAATCGTTCACATTAGTCTAAACTTCATCAATACAATTGGATTCTTGATTCTATATTTTTCACAAAATCTGACAACTCTATTTATTGGAAAAAGCGTTCAAGGGTTCACTACTTGTGGCGTTACAATGACTGTTATAATAGTGGCTGAATATTTTGATCCGAGAAAACGAGGCTATTTCATGACTATCAAGAAGGCCACCATCTCCATGGGCTGTTTTATTTGCCACTCTTTGTACCTCACTTGCACTTGGAGACAAATAGCACTTCTAGCGATAATACCCTATACTTTATCCACAATACTTATCCTTTTCTGGCCAGAGAGCCCAGCTTACTTGGCGATGAAGGGAAAATTTGAAAAATGTACCGAGTCTCATATTTGGCTATTCGGAAACTCGGAAACCAGCAAGAAATATTTAAAGCAACTGAAGCAAGCGCAAATGGAAAAACAAAAGACGAATACAGAAGAAGAAGGTGACCGGTTCAGGATCTTTCGATCGCTTTTGCGTAAAGACTTTTTGAAACCAACGGCCATCGTCTTTCTCTTTGGCAATTATGACTGATGCTTCTGGCAGGTTTTACATCACGATGTACATCATACAGATCGTGGAAGAGATCGTCGGAGACACTTCTATAGCAATTTACTCATCAATAGCTGCTGATTTACTAACAATGATTGCGTTCTTTCTATCTGGAATCGTCGTTAGATTTATGTCACGACGAAACATTCTTATATATTTTGGTTTAGCGACTACAGCTTTTATGTATGTTATAAGTATCGTGATCTTATTGAAAACTAGATATAAGATAGGTGTTGGCTTAATTTGGTTGTCGCCGTCATTGATAGCTTTGAACACATTCATTGCGTTTATAGGTATAATACCAGCTGCCTATACTGTTATAGGAGAAGTTTATCCATTAGAATACAGGGGATTGGGTTCGTTTATATCAGGGATGGCTCTTTTAACTTCCTATACAATTATAATTAAATTTATACCCCTAATGATAGATAGAGTGGGCGTGGAAGGTATGTTCGCCATTTTTGCGACGTGTCTCCTCCTATGTGTTATCGGTTTATATTTTATTTTGATTGAGACAAAGGACAAAACTCTGCAAGAAATAGAGAACGAAATGAAAGGTATAAAACAGACGGAACAAAGACTTCTGAGGTCGAATGAGGAGTGTTAATGAATAAAATGTTTTATAAACTTGAATACGCACGGTGTAGTGTTAATGTCGGACACAATAAAGTAATATTTCGCAATTTAATCCGCTAAAAATATTTCATTTGTAAACTTCATGTGACAGTTTCACACTTCACCATTAATTTCACTTCATCATAATATATTTCACGTTTTAAACAGTTAAAGCGCTTTATGTGTTATTCTCGAATAAACTTTATATGATACTAGCTGACCTGGCAAATGTTGTTTTGCCATATAAATAATTTTACTAAAATGTCTATTAAAAAAATAAGGGTTGATCGTAGAAGGGTGAAAATTGAGGATTGTATGTATTTTTGTATGTTGTATCATAAAAAAATAGAAATTAAAAATTTTGTCTAAAAAATAAAACAAACAATTTTAAGGGTAAACAACCCTTATCATTTAGAGGGATGAAAAATATATGATGTTCTATTCTCAGACCTACTGAATACAAATATGAAATTTGGTGAACATCGGACAAGCCGTTTCGGAGGAGTACGGTAACTAACACTGTGACAGGAGAATTTTATATATTAGATTTACCTTCAAAAACTTTTGTGTTTAAAACCGTTAAAAATTATTTATTTGTCAAATAATCTTATCACTTACATATTGTGTTTCCACACTTCACAACAAACTTATACATTTCGCGTTTCAAACCGTTGAAAATGTGAACTTCATACGAGAGTTCTCTCTTATATTATTAGTTTATAAGGTTCGTCATTGCGGCTAAGTATGCAGTCTCTCCATGCCGCATTGGCCCCGTCGGTCACTCAGTCACGTTCCGGCCACTCTCCTATCGATTGTTCACGCTGCCAATTTAGGTGGCCTCAGATGACACATCTGTACAGTAGGGCCTCGTTAATCCGAAGACGCAAAAAACAAGACCCTTTACGGACTATCGAGGCGTCCGGATTATAATATGTCATATAAATTGGTATGATAAAACGTATTTAACTGAAGATTCTTTAATCAATTTTTTATTATGTATAGCAATATTATAAGGACAAAATGTTTAAAATTACAACCACTTTGAACATTTTGCCTTTGTTTATGGCGGCAAAAGCGTAAGCCATGAGCGCATTGCATGACAGCCCACAACTACACTCACCGGTCTCCTTCGCTGCTCCTCGTATTCCTGGGACTGCCCGGGCGGATTACTGGGACCACCAAAGAAGCAAAGGTCCGGATTACCGAGGCCCTACTGTACTTTCAATTTTTGTATGTTAGTGGAGGACATACGAGGACGGAGTTTACTTGATGGTAGATGTAATTCCCCAGCCTATAGCATTATTTATTCTAAAAGGCTTATCGACTAAATACTTATTAATACAATACAATATAATTGAGGTTTATACAAGGCTATTAAGATTAAACTTACAGACAAGCACAGAATTGCTTATTTATAAAACAGAGGGGAAATTACAACTTATATGTGTGTGCGTAATATAAAAAGAGAAGTTAAGAAAAATATTAAAAGTATATATTAAAATAACTTAGTTGGGCACAATTGAACAGTCTTCTAATGTTTGAGAAATTACTTAGTTTGAGAACAGGTACAGATTGTTGTTACATTTGACATTGTTATAGCATCTAAACAAGAGTCTATGGACCTATTTTGGGGTTGGTGATTCGGAAATCCACAGAAACCTGAACGCGATGAAACTCCACGGCTTTTTCATCTGTGGTTCGTGAATAGATTATCCAGTTCAATAAGTTTCAGAGAAAAATATACAAAACTTTATTTTTAACCCCCTTCAAGAACTCCTATGCGGTCATGGGTATGGTAAAAACGTATGGCTAATAACCAGCGGGTGTTAGAACATGTTTCTACAAATCTATACTAATATATAAAACTGAAGAGTTTGTTTGTTTAAATGTGCTAATCTCAGGAAATACTGGTTCGAATTGAAAAATCTTTTTAGTCTCCCCGTGACCACGGCTGCTGCAAAGCATCCGAAACGTGGGGCCGAAGTTAAAAATCATTTTCAAATAAGTTTAACTAATATATCGCGTTTTAAACCGTTAAAGTGTTTTATTTAAATGTGTACTACTCGCGTAAACTATAGACAGTATTTAAATCTTTTTGTGTTTGTTAGAGGGAAAGGATATATCGCGAGGCTATAACCATCGCGATGCGACTAGTAGAAGCGAAAAAAAATGGGAACAAAACGGGGAAAAATAATTAATTCTTGTGGGCTTCCATTCATACGCTGCAAAAAGGTAAAATGCGCCCAAAAAATAAAATATATCAAAGTAGGATTCCTTTTAAATAATCTAAAAAGCAAAATCTATCTTTTGATATTAACTCGCAAGAACGACGTCGTGGGTAAGTAACACTTAACAACTATCAAATTTATAAAGAATAGCATGAGGTTTGAAAAAGCAATTTTTGCGGACGAAGTCACTGGCACAGCTAGTATTTAATTAAAAATCGAAAATAAATTGAAAAAATATATTGTGCCATGGTGTGCAATCACGTCAATGTTTAAGTTTTCAATGGCTACTTATTGTTATAAATGTCGCTCCAACATTTAATTTATATATATATCGGATAAAAATATCGTTTTCAAACTTATGTTTCGCGTCAGTTTGACCTGCATTGTCGATCCGAAAGAGGATGTACAGATACAATATAAAAGCGACAAATTCAACGGGCCCGAGTTTCGTCAAAATTTTCAAGTGCCTCCCATCGACACTTTCCGGGGAATCTCACTTGTTAACCTAAATACAATGAAGCTTCGTGGAAAAGGAAAGCGAGTTTTATTTACCATTTTCTCTGGGGACTATTGGTGTAGTCATGGTGACGTCATATTTGACGGAGGGAAGTGAAGTGAAGGGACTAATAAGTCCCAGATATATTATAGAGCAGACCCGGCAGACTTTCTACTCCCTCATCAATAAATTAAAGACCTAAAATTTTGTATAAAAAGAATCTAAAATAAACTAATCGAATCCGTATAAAAAACAACATGAAGTATGTGTTCATTTGTTAATTCAATCTGTTAGATTAATGATAAATCATATATTTCTGAACAGAACATAATATTTGATTTGACAATCAACTATTTATTTAATAAGATTAAAACGCGAATTTGAACTGAAGTTTTTGTTTGTTTGTTTGCTTGAACGCGCTAATCTCAGGAACTACGGGTTCGAATTGAAAAATTATTTGTTTTGGTTGTTTAGTTAAAGCTGTAAGAGCGGTTATAGCATTTATCGAGGAAGGCTATAGGCTGTAAAACATCGCTCTGTGACTAATACAAGCTAAGATATAGCGAGAAATGTGGAAAAAAAATTTGAAAAATTATCCATCCTTTTGGGTTTTCGAGGAGCACGCTGCATAAACGGATCAGGATACACAAAAAATATTTATGAAAGAATGATTACTCTTTTAATAATATTCAAATAATAAAAAAAAAGATTTAACGAATTTTTGAGATTAACGAATAATAAATAAACGAATTCGGATGCCCGAAATAACGTTTTTTTGCCGACGAAGTCGCTGACACAAAATTTGCTCACCTTTTAAATATACCCAAGACCACCACGAACATTTCAAGACGAAGATAAGACAAATCAGTTCAGCCGTTCTCGAGTTTTAGCGAGACTAACGAACAGCAATTTTTATCTATAGAGATTTTACAAATGTACCCTGTGGGAATCAAACCTATGATCGATAATAAAGGATGGATAATTAAAATAAAACACTTTTACGGTTTAAAACGCGATATATTAGTTAAACTTATTTGGAAATGATTTTTAACTTCGGCCCGACGTTTCCCTCCCCGTGACCACGGCTGCTGCAAAGCATCCGAAACGTCGGGCCGAAGTTAAAAATCATTTCCAAATAAGTTTAACTAATATATCGCGTTTTGAACCGTTGAAGTGTTTTATTTAAATGTGTACTACTCGCGTAAACTATAGACAGTATTTAAGGATGGATAAGCATGGTGCAAAATACTATAGCCATACACGAAGCGCTCTCGACCAATTTGACTTTGGTTTTTCAAACGGAAATCCACAGACTGAAACGTGACGACGTTTTCATCTGTGGACGGTGGTTCATGACCCGGATGTAATTTTCGATATTCCTAACCATTTAATAAGATTTCCAACTTGTTTTAGAATAATTACTTTATTACACACGGTGCGCATCGAACTGGCGACCTGTTTATTATTATAAGCTATTGCTACCATTGTTTTTTTTTGTTTAAACTTAGGGAAGAGTATACCTATGTTATGTATTTTAAACCTCTTAAAAAACATGTTACACCCGGTGTGAATCAACGACCCGTTGATTATTAGCTGGAAGGGCCACTTGACCCCACAAATTTAGGCAGGAGTAAAATTAATTAAGCCGTTTAAATCAGTTTAAACGGATAACACTATTAAATTCGTGCGCTTTTTAAATTTAAGTTCAGCGCATGCGTGACTTATTTACCGTAAAATTATATTTTTTACCGCCATTAGTTCGCTCTTTCGCGCGCTTTCAGCAGCATCCGGGAAAGCTGTTTTTCGTAACGCTGAAAAGCGGGAAAACTCTCCACTTGAAAATGTTGTAGTAGCATGAATGTTTGTGAAAATGTGACATTGTAGATGTAAAAACTTTAACAAATTTTAATTATATCGAGTTTTGTATAAATTAGCTGTAGATTGTTAATTAATGAAATGGCTGCAGAGAGGTATCTGTGGCTGGCAACAGCTCTGCTTCGGCTTTGGTTGGGGGCTGGGGATCTCTGCTACGCGCAGTAAGTAGAAATTTCTGCAACTAATAAAAAATATATAAATTTATGTGTAGGCACAGGTAACAGCTAGAGAACATTAAATTAAAAAAAGAAGGGGATGGTGGTGTAATGGTAGCTATAGCTTATAATCAATCATATTTGTAATCAATCTATAATATTTTCGTATTGTTCTTCGAAACAAAAATGTCGGACTTCTGGGTCTGGTTGTAGGATAGGAATGTCGAAATTCCGTCCAAGTCATCAACTACCGTAACCGTACCGTAAAAGCTGTCAAGTTTAATTGACAGATTGACAGCGTATCTTGTTTAAATGTTTTATGGTTTAGGTATTTCTCCTATCATTAAAAAAAAGTATTTTTAACATTAGCAAAACAGGAATAAAATTATTTTAAACAAAACATATTTGAGTATGATGGATTGATGATAATCATATCGCGTTTAACTGTTTATAAGTGTTGTATTTCATTAAAAATTGTTTCCGTGGGTTTGGGTTCCGATGATGTCATCGAAATTCAACATTAAGTACAAGTATTTAAACAAATACAAAAAAAATAATTGAACCGGTATTCAAACATTTGAATTTTGAACTGCGTATTTTTACAATTACAAGCCAACACTAAAATCAGCGATGTGTATTGTAAATAAACCTTTAACCGTGTAGAATACAAATTATAGATATTGTTACAAATTAATGATAATTTGTTCTTACAAAGATGCTCGATAATATACAAAAATTAAAATTTACATAAAAACTATAAAAGAGAATAGAAAGAGAAGAGGCGATACAAATCTTTTCATTATTAGAAAAAACTGAATAAGACAACAAAACAACAATTTAAATTTGACTTAAAATTTACATTTTACAAAAAAAACACATTATTTATTTATTTTTTAGTCATTAATCAAAAAAACATTAAAAAACTCTAAGCAACTCGTAATATTTTAAATTATTCAACAATTATTATCTATGTAATTGTAAACTTTTTTGATCTAGAATACTCGTACTGGCTGGTTCGAGTATCATTTCATTTTAATATCAAGCGAAAATACAGACTGACACTTTTATATATGCGTGGTTATTTTTTTTAGTACTTTGACATTCTATTTAAGTATAAATTATTAAAAACAATAATAATAATAATGTTATGAACAACAAAACTCGATACAAACATTTCGTAAGCGTATTTTTCGACGTGTTTATAAAAATTTAAACAATTTAAAAGCCTATTTAATATTTTAATGCCTGCACTTGGTGGCAGTATGTATATTAAAATCTATTTTTATTTAATATATATGATGACACGGGCTTTGAACGCGTAACTACAGCGTCCATCCACAGCTTGATTAGAGCAATTCGTAATTTTTAACTATCTAAATAAAACCTTTCCAACTCTTAAGTTATTCTCTCCCCCACTATATCTATACAGAATTCTTTTATAATGTACCCTTTCTTTTGCTTGTTACTCCTGACACCTACCCATTATAGTTTTTCTCCTGCACTTCAGTTTGCCTGGAAGAGATCGCTGCTTAGCGATAAGGCCGCCTTTTATTTATAAGTCAGTACGTAAGATGTTTTCTCGTTTTATATGTGCTTGATTCTATAGTATGGGCTATAAATAATAAAACTATAATAAATAATAAATATTTTAATTTAATTTGTAAGCTATTATTATTTTTTTCAATTCTTTTCCATTTGTTTCAAATATCGTACACACAATCACAAACTATAAGACTTTCTTATTGCGTTAAGATTATTGTAGGAGTATTTTTTATCAAAAAGAGAATGTAGCAAAAACGTTACTCAGGTTTATTTTTTTTATAAAGTACGTGTCCGCGTATTTGAGTCCTATCTAGCGTAATAATAATATCGCATTGAATACTTGCGCTACGTACACTAAATAAATTTCGTTCTAAGCCGAAGTTGAAAAATTTCATTGAAATTCGGTTTAAGAAAAAACTTGAGATTACTACTTCACTGTAGTTTTCGCGAGTAGTACACGTTTAAATGAAACACTTTTAATGGTTTATAATGCGAATTATATTAGCTAACTTATTTGTAATTTATGTTAACTACGGATCTCCCTGTGACCACGGCCGCTGCATATAATCATTAAACTGACGTTTAAATAATCATTGTCGTAATATAAGCAACTGTGAGTAACGTTTGAAAACATTAATATTTTTGCACATGAAGGCACTATATAATTTAAAAATCGAAAATAAATTGAAAAAATTTTCGACTCGGGCAGGACTTGAACCGGCATCGTCAGCTTCCCGTGCTGTTGCTCTACCAATTGAGCTACCGAGTCCTACCGGTTTTTTTTAATTAACTGTGAGTAATTCTTATAAGATCATTGCGTTTGATAGTTCACCTGGAAATGTCAAGTCTATAGTAGTATTATTAGAATTAATTTTGGTTTTAAAAATATTTTTGTGTTAGTTGGACTATTTAACGAGGACGGTTATGTACCATCCCAATTCGAGCAATTAAGAGCGAAGAAACGCGAGCGAGCGAAATGTAGGAAAAAGCGGGAAAGATTACTCATCATGTTGAGGGCTTCTGTTGCGTGTGCTGCGAAAACGGTTATAAACCAAAAATAATGTATGGAAGAACGATTCTTCTTGAAATGATCTATAAATAATTTACAACAGTATATGTCTGTTTTTTAAGATTAACTCACATAAACGACAGGATGCGGGCGACGTTATGAATATCAGCTAAAATTTATAATACCGAAGAGGTTGTTTGCAAAAATAAATAATAAAATTTCCAAAATAACTACTCCACGCGAACGAAGTCAAGGGCAGAGCCGTAAGATGCAAATTTACAATTGATCCGAATGTTCGGCTTCGGTTCATACACACAGGCCATCCCTAATAGCTGCATTCCCGATCATAAGTTAAACGCAACTTAACTGTTCACACAAGTTAAGTTTATTTTGGATTAAAAGTTTGAAATTTTTAATTAAATCCGTTTTGAACGACAAAGCTCACACGAAGTTGTTAAGCCGTTGCTTATAAGTACAAGCATTCTTTGTAGATTCAATTTTAAAACTTTTACAATTATTAAAAGAAAAATTAATCCCAGAGGCATAGCATGTTTTTAATTTATTTAAAAAGGTCTTAATGATATAGCTACTGAAAATACATTAACTTACTACTGATAAAGCTAATTTTAAACATTAAATTGTCCATTTTAATTTAAAAGGACATCTAGGTTAAGCGTTAAAAACTTGAAATATTAATTTTTATGACGACGAGAATATGAAATGTAGATTCGTAGATGACTTGTTATTTTTTTTAGGTTTCGCTTTTTAAAACCGTTATATTTAATGTGAATCACTCGTTTGAAACGAAGAATATTACATTAAGTCAATGTGCAACTACTGCAAATAGTTGCGATTTCAAACCGTTAAAAGTGCTTTATTTCATTTTACACTACTTGCGTAAACTATAAACAGTACTTAAATTACCTTTAAATTTATGTCGATGACTCGGATGGGACTTGAACCTGTATCTACAGCGATTCGTGCTGCTTTAACCAATTGAGCTACCGTTTCTCATCTGACCGGATATAGTTTCTTCAACCAAGTAATGAATCTATCGCACAATGTAATTTAAACCTTTAAAAATGTTCGAAGATAAAATTACACTAAATGAATGCACTTACACATGATGCATTCTTTTTCACATGTTTTTGAACATGTGAAACAATGCTTATTACATTTTATTCACAGATCGACGTTGCTGTCCTTCCAAGATTTGCTGCCGGACGACCCTCGTCTCTACGACAAGATGAGACCTCCAAAGAAAGATGACCAGCCCACGATAGTCAATTTTCACGTCACCGTTATGGGTCTGGATTCAATTGACGAGAATTCCATGGTTAGTTACTAGGTTCTAGGTTTTGCAATGCGGGAAAACATTTTTTTTTTCAAGCAGACAGCAGCTCCTTCGTTTAAAACGGTTATAAATTGACAGTATTATTAGTAGCGATGTGTAACGGGTCGTGGGTTCGACTCCCACCGGCTAGATGTTGAATCTTTAAATAGAAAAATAAAGCCTTTTACTGTATCATCTTTGAAAATAATCGTGTGTAAATAGCAATTTGTGCCTAATATTAACGGGTCATAGGTCTGATCTTGACCGTGTGAATTTTCCTAATCAATTTATAATTATTTGAAACGTGTTGGACGTCATCTGGACCATGTGTATGTGAAATAAGTGGTTGAAATATCAAAATTCCGTCCGAGACACCCATCGACACATACAAATGAAAAAGCAGTAAAGATTAATCGCGTTTCGGATTCCATCTGTGGATTTGCGAATATCCAAAGCCAAATAGGTCGGTGACGTATCTTTTCTAGATGTTATATGACTGGGGTATTCTTACCTATCATCTAGTAATCCACATGTGTGTCTGTCTCTATCATAAAATAACTATAAAATCTACGCGCAAGAAGTAATATTTTATTACTGTATATATCTGGTAAGCCCAGTGGAACAAGCGAATGACAATACTCCTACTTCCTAAGTAGGTCAAACGCAGCCCTTTACGTTTAGTAAGCGGAGGTATTACAATAGTTATATAGAAAACTGGCTGAATTTACTTATTACTAGCTGACCTAGCAAATCTTTTTTGCCGTATAGAGTATTTCGACTAAATTTCGAAAATGGTTCTTGCAAGTCAATCTTAAAAGATAAACATATACCTACCGTCGGGAACATTTTTTAGATAATTTAAAAGAGGAATCATTGCTTTGTTGCTTAAAACGTTGTGTATGTGTGTTTGTATATGACAACGTTACGACCAATAGGAACGAAGATATATGTGGAAAAAGGAAATATTATTATTTGAGGATTCCCTCTATAATTGATCTAAAGTCTTTTAATGCAAGAACGACGGGACGCAGACGACAACGTGGGCGAAAAGCCTTAAACCTAAAATAATTAAAGGTTAAAAAAAACGAATTTTGATTCCAAAAATAAAAATCATAATCATAAGTTTATTTTTTGAAATTTTGAGATACTCATCGCGTTTCACTTGTTCAGCCCTTTCATTTGATACCCATATTGAGGGGGTTAAGGAAAAATATGTAGTCCGCCATTTTGTATCGGCGGCCATCTTGGATTTATAATGTAATTGATTTTATTATATTGTATTGTCATCTAAATCATATGTGTGTAACAAATTTCGGGTTAATCTGACAACGGGAAGGTTTGAATTTCTACTTTTGACCTAAATAAAAAATCCGTAGGGGTGAAGCTAAATAAAACCAGGCACAACTAGTTAGTCATGTAGACAATATGTTATTGAAGATAAATAGCGCAGCCATTGCAGCAAGTGGCTACTGCTACTGTTTATCTATTGGTCTTATATATCAAGGTTTATCTGGCGCGGATGCGCAGCGGGTTTTTAATAAATCCGTTTAGTAATAGATACCTTAGGAACACTTTCTTTACTGAACATTGTATTAATACAGGCAATTTGTGTCCTAAGCGGTTTGCATTTACAACCCAAGTTAACGCACAGTCGTTTTGTTTTAATTCTGCTAAAAATAACTACAAGGCGTTTATTTTTAAATGTACTTAAAATTACTTCATTTCCTAGTAGTGCACCAAAATTATAACTTATTGTACGATGGAGGGAAACGTGAAGAGACCGGGATGTCCTTGTGCCATACATTTAAGTAAATGTGTCATATTTAAATAAAACACTTCAACGGTTTAAAACGCGATATATTAGTTAAACTTATTTGAAAATTATTTTTAACTTCGGCCCGACGTTTCGGATGCTTTGCAGCAACCGGTCACGGGGAGACTAATATATCGCGTTTTAAACCGTTAAAGTGTTTTATTCAAAGTTTACTACTCGCGTAAACTATAGACAGTATTTAAATGTGTCATATGCCAAAACTCAATTGGTCAGGTGGATAAGGTGGTCCCATCGGTGGGAACCGGTAGATGACGATAGTTTAACAATCTGTTAATTTTACTAGATTGTAAACATTCATTTAATTAACAAAATTATCGATAGTAAAAGTAAAAAATCACAATTATCAAGAACTATAACAACATGAGGTATACCATTAAATTGGGGTTCGCCCGTACGTAGTTTTATGATGAAAATTTGTGTTATACACTAGTATATATAGTATAGTATAGTGTTGTGTTCTGTATTACTTAATACAGATACAGATATAAATACAAAAGTAACTCCAGACTATTGAAGTGAAATTTGTACAAAGATATTTTCTTACTTTTTAATGCCAAAAAAGGATTGATTGGGGTTGAAAATGGAGATGAAAGGTATCATGGAAATTCGTGGTTTCTGAATTTAGAACAATGAAACTTTCTTCTTTGGCTCTTTGGGATTAGGAGTGTTGCGGCAAAGTAGCGCTTACAACATAGATTGGCTGCCTTAAATGTGCCGTTACATATTTTAATAAACAGCCTAAATAATCAAAAATTCTACCCCAAGTCACCATTCCACGCGGACAGAGTCGCGGGCACAGCTAGTACACACAAATATATCACACATAATTCTATATTTAGTTTCGCAAAGAATGCGTCATCTAATTTAGAATTCTCCGCTCTTTATAAAAAGTGCGCAATTCCAAACTGGAGATCTTAATGATGCATTTCAGCGGAGATATTTTAGACTAGCAGTTGTGAATACTTGGTTTTCTTTATCTTTAGAGCTTTTTTGGCTTATAACTGCTGTTTATAAGTACGCGTTTAACCTATAAACCCATTTGAGGGTAGTTTTTCTATTTCGCGACTTACGCCGGTACTTTCAAATGTTACATAGTAAGTTAATGGGTGCGATGTTTAAAGTGTTACTCGGTATTCTTAGGGTTCCGTGTGAAGGGACCCTATTAGTAAGACCTAAATGTGTGTCTGTCTGTCACCAGAGTGTATCTCAACAACTGTTATGGCTAGGGGGGATCTTTGTAAACTTTTTTGAAATGATTACAGATTTAAATAACACTTTACCGGCTTAAAACGCGATATATATTAGTTAAACTTATTTCAAAATTATTTTTAAATAAGTCAGATTCGGATGCTTTGTAGCAGCCGTGGTCGGCTGCTGCAAGCCGGAACACGCCGAAGTTAAAAAATATATTTTTAATAAGTTTAGCTAATATAAAAGCGTTATAAGCCGTTAAAGTGTTTTATTTAAATGTGTACTACCCGCGTAAACTACAGACAGTATTTCATCACAGATTTGTTGAAATAAGAAGCAACAATAGACCAAACGACGATTCAAACTCACGAGTAAATAATAATAATGTTTCAAACTGGTTTTTGTGTTTATTTCAGACGTATGCCGCCGACATATTTTTCGCTCAAACTTGGAAGGACTTCCGGCTTAGACTACCAGAAAACATGACAACGGAGTATAGGTAATTCAATCTAATCAAAATCTATTTTTGTTTTGGAATGGTAATCAATTACATAAGTAAATATAAACTGAAGACATTACATGAAACAATTTTCTAAATAGTGTCCGGCCATTATGGTGCCCTAAACGTAAACAGAGTGGTAGGTGTCGAATCTGCTACGCTACCGCCATCTGTTGAAATCGTTCCAAATGTAAATTGCTTTCTTAATAGTTTTTTGTTATATAAGTTATCATATTAGACGTCCACATACTTAATTTTAAAGATAATATCTGGTTTAAATGTTAATAATTATTTTCCTAAAAGTAAAACATATTCTGCGCGTTTTATACGTAATAATGGAGGCAAAAATACGTCGACTTTATTATATTTTACTTTATTATACAAAAAGAAACCCATAGAAAAATATAATATTGCTTGCCAAAAGCGTTTTTAAGCATCTATTTTCCTCCAGATTACTAGAAGTCGATTGGCTGAAACACATGTGGAGACCAGATTCCTTCTTCAAGAACGCAAAGTCTGTCACCTTCCAGACTATGACCATACCCAACCATTACGTCTGGCTCTACAAAGACAAGAGCATCTTGTATATGGTGAAACTGACGTTGAAGCTATCCTGCGCTATGAATTTCTTAATCTACCCGCACGACACGCAGGAGTGCAAACTTCAGATGGAAAGCTGTGAGTACCAATTTTTTTAACGTGCTGATCCGGCGAACGTTTTGCTGTTTTCAAGATAAATATTAAACTCTAACAAATAATTGGTGATAATAAAAACGTTTGTTGCAAGTTAATCTTAAAAGGAAGACTTATAGTATCGCGGACATTTTTTTTTGGGGGGGGAACCCCGTTTTTTTTTTTTTTTTTGGTTTTTTGGCGCGTTTTTTCCCGCCCCCCCAACGAGGCCCCCAAGGGTCGAAATATTTTCCGTTTTTGCCACATTTTCCACTGTTTCTTCTAGTAGCTGGTATTTTTTTGCAATTAGTACGGCCCGACGCGACGGTTCGGAGGCTTAGCAGCAGCCGTGATCACGTCAGGGGTCAGTTCCTAATACATTTCGCGTTTTAAACCCTTAAAATGTAACACACTTTTTAATTTAGGTTCAAAACTCAACTAATCTACAGACAATATTCTGTATGTCCTGTTGTTATGGTCTTTTAATTGAAACATACAAAGGCATGTATAATAAAATAACTTTACACATATAATTATAGCCAAATTAAGCATTAAATATTGTATTACATTTTTGTCTAAATTGTATTTTTAATTAATTCGTAGTTAATTAGGTTAGTACCAAAGCAGTGCTCGCTTTTTTATCACAAATTAAAAGTAACCTAATACTTTTGAATAGCGATACTTTTTCTTTGGTTTATTTTCGTTCAAGATCTCGAATATACGAAATTAATTAGCACAAATGGTTTTATAAATCTAAAATCGCCGTGAATCGATCTACTAATCTGTGTCAAGAATCTCTTGAATGTGGAAAAAAAAGTCGAAATAAATTTAAATGCGCGACGAGTATTTTAATAGAGCAACCGTCAGTTTTATATAAATGTCGGGGCTTTGAATTCCTTTCGTGAAAATTGTTTAGTGGAATTGCAACGTGTGTTGTACTGAAGGACAATTGCCGCTCGTTTTCCAGGCCTGCTTAGAATATTGATGTGTAAATCGTGCTGAAAACCCAGTTTTAATCTATTTTTGTCCACTAGATCAGCATCTATCATCCATTTTGAATTCGCTTGACATATTTTGACTTTCGAATTTCGAAAATCTTCAGAGTACTGTCTATAGTTTACGCGAGTAGTACACATTTAAATAAAACACTTTAACGGTATAAAACGCGATATATTAGTTAAACTTATTTGAAAATGATTGAGGAGAGGGAGGAGGAGTCTCCTCGTGACCACGGCTGCTGCAAAGCATCCGAAACGTCGGGCCGAAGTTAAAAATTATTTTCAAATAAGTTTAACTAATATATCGCGTTTTAAACCGTTAAAATGTCTTATTTAAATTTGTACGACTCGTGTGAAGTGAGACAGACAATTTAAGGCAAAGGTTTTTCCATTCTCTTCATACACATGTTTTAGAAAAAGAAGTTAAACCTGATAGGAATCGAACCCGTTAGTTCATTAATATTGCATTACTGCCATTGCACAAACTAGCCTGTAATTTTTTTTTTATACAAGATAATCGATAAAAAATCTAATCGAATATCAATTACAAGGCTTTAAGTTTAGAATTTCAACTCCGGTGAATCGATACATTGTTTTAGTCGGGCAGGACACAGAAGAGCTACAGCACGGAACGCTGTGGTTCAAATCCTGCCCGTGTCGTAATTTTTTTTTAATTAGATTTTTTATCTGTCTATACTAATATATAAAGATGAAGAATTTGTTTGTTTCTCTGTTTGAACGCTCTAATCTCAGGAACTGCGGGTCGGAATTGAAAAAATATTTTTGTGTTGGCTAGAGGATGTACTGAGGAAGGATATAGGCTACATTGCGTTGAGACTAATACGAGCAGAGGAAATTCGGAAAATGTGCAGAACGGAAAAAAATATTCACCTTTGTGGCTATTCGTTGCGTATGCCGCGAAAACCATTCAAGATACCCAAAAAAAATGTATGAAAGGATAATTTATTTTTAAATGATCTAAAAAAATGGCGCGACACAATATGTCTGTCTCTTAAGATGAACTTGCAAGAACGACGGGACGCGAGCGACGTTGTTCGTCGTGGACAATGTTGATGATCAGAATAATGTTTTAGTAGACAAGATCCTTCGTAGAGTGAGCTTGATTTATTACGGAAAGTGTCCAATGTATAAATTAATTACAACCCTGGCTATAGGTCAACATCTCTTGCATTATTCAGAGTGCAGCGCTGAATGACCAGCTCAGCATATACTAATGAGAAGCTAATTTTGTATGCGCTGCCCGTCTTGAGATTTCATAATAACGAACACGAAGTTCGACAACGATAGATTTTGTCAATAATCGGTTTTATTAACATTTATTTTAGGCTAGCTACTGTCTATAGTTTACGCGAGTCGTACACATTTAAATAAAACACTTTAACGGTTTACAACGCGATATATTAGTTAAACTTATTTGAAAATTAATTTTAAGAGTCTCCCCGTGACCACGGCTGTTGCAAAGCATCCGAAACAGATATTTTATTTATACACACTAAACAAATGTTTTGAACCCAAAAAGAAACTTTGTTCGAGGCTGTTTTGTATAACCTAGTTAGTTTAAATAAAACACTTTAAAAACGCGATATATTAATTAGTTAAACTAATATAAAAATGATTTTTAACTTCGGCCCGACGTTTCGGATGCTTTGCAACAACAGGTCACGGGAGACTAATAAATCGCGTTTTAAACCGTTAAAGTGTTTTATTTAAATGTGTACGACTCGCGTAAACTATGGACAGTATTTGACCTAGCTAGGTTTTATTTTCGCAAGCCAGCATAAGCATTTTTTATACTCCTAACATGAATAGCACTACGTACATGTAGCATCTTTATTGAATGAAATAAATCTCTGTATAGAGCGCGATGTATTAAAGCGAATTAAACTTAAAAATATACGCTGAATTTAAAATTATTTTTACGCTGCGGTAATGAACAGTTTTTAATTAAACTCAATGAGACTTATTTTCGCTGCGACCAAAGCTGATTAATCAGGTCATAGATTGGGTCAAAGCACACTTGTCACAGATTGGATAACAGAAGGGAGACAATATAGTCTGTGTGTGTTACGAAGTTGTGTCTCTCCACATTTTTGTGTCTAATTCACAAAGTCTCAATATATTCAAGGCCAGAGTAGAGCAATATTTAAATACTGTCTGTAGTTTACACCGTTTACCGAACAGATGGCGCTAGCGTAGCAGGTTTTTTCTACTTCGACGTCAGGGACGTCCTCCATCTTAAGTCTCCCCGTGTCAAAATAATTTTCACACAAGTTGAACTAAAATATTTTCTTGATACTATTGCCCAGCCTTGATTAGTGTAGGCTTAAACTGCTATAAAGCTATTAGTTACGTAAAACCTTAAGTGGTAAGAAAGGTAATCCCATACATTAATTCTTTCTCGTTTTCGCATGAATTAAATTGTTAGGTGCATTGCTAAAGTCGCTTAGTTAGGCATAATTAAATTTGAATTGTTTTAAACACGATTTTTATTAAATACTGTCTATAGTTTACGCAAGTAGTACACATTTAAATAACACACTTTAACGGATTAAAACGCGATTTATTAGTCTCTTCGTGACCACGGTTTCTGCAAAGCATCCGAAACGGCGGGCCGAAGTTAAAAATCATTTTCAAATAAGTTTAACTAATATATCGCGTTTTAAACCGTTAAAGTGTTTTATTTAAATGCGATTTATATTAGCTGCTAAGCATCCGAAACGCTAGAAAATTATCGGTATAGTTTAACGGTTTAAAACTCCGTATGCATATAATGTACCTTACTTGCGCAAACTACGCGTAACGAACACAATGACGTATATGATTCTACCGTGCATGAACATCCTTTTCGTCCTCAATACAGCACTTATCATCTCGATAGACTCGTTAACCCACAGATTTCCCCCCTCCCCCCATAATTATCCCCAAGTGCACAAACAATGGGTGCTCATAAGCAAACAAGCGGGTGAAGTATAGGTAAATTTTGTCGGCGATACATAAAATTGATTCCTTGAGTGTGGTGGATGTAGGCCAAGGGTCCTCAATGGCGTTCAGTCTCTGATGTCAGCTCATTTTTATCGTGAAGATCAGTCGAGGGCTGTGATTGAGGCTTAATGTCGTTCTGGGTAAAGAACTCCATAAATAGGTGAGGTACTCGAAGGTTATTTTGGTTCCAGCCACTTCTCGCTGGGCCTTGACTCTCTTGGGTGTTTTTAATTAGAATTTTTTAATTAGACCACCGTTTGTGTTAGGTGGTCTTGGATGTCTTGCGAATAGCTGACCGCCTCTCGACACAATCGAAACTAGCAATCTCCTGCGACTTCGTCTGTCTTACTGTCAATAAAGCGATGATTAAAATAAATAGGTCCGAAGCCTACCGGATCCAACATTTTTTAATAAATTTATAATTTTTCTAAAACACGTTAGCCTTCGTCTGGAAGTCTTGATATTATATCGCGTTTTGGTTTCAGGCTGAGAATTAGATATCCAGAATCAAAATAGGACGGCAGCGCATGTTATGTAGGATGAACTTTCTATCAAGTGAATATGTTCATAAAATAAAACACTTTAACGGTTTAAAACGCGATATATATTATACTTAATTAACCTGATGTTTCGGATCCTTTGCAGAACCGCGGTCTCCCAATTACCCGTGACCACTAATATATATCGCGTTTTAAATCGTTAAAGTGTTTTATTTAAATAATTCGCTCTTGTTCAGAAACTTTGAATATTTGATAAATCCTTTATTGTGCTCGTTACTGGTTCTAGACTAATGGACCATTTATTTTAACTAGCGTCATACGGTTTATTCACAAGTGCGCAAGCCGTTGCCGACTGAAGTTGTTGACTTGTGTTGCTGTAGATCCATTGTCTGAAGGCTCGAGTTTGTCGCGTGCTCGTCTGAGATATAAATATCCAAACATTAACGAGAGATAAGAAAGACGCGACCTTCTCCAAGACACTAAAATAATTATGACGCGCTATGCTTCTAGTATCGTTTGAAGTTAATGGTAGAATTGCATTAAATACGCCCTTAACGGTTGGAAATGTACTAGTATCTGACATTTCGGATTCCTTTCAGAGGCCTGAATTGAGATATTTCGGTTTTAAAGCTGTTAAGATTAAATGTTATTTTCGACCACTTACACCATAATGTTGGATTATTTCCGTTAAACAAAAAATGTAACCATTATAATTAATTTGACGTGCTCCTTGAACAATTGAAACGATGTATAAATTATAATAACGGGTCGTGGGTTATTTCTACCAGGTAAAACATATTCTTAAAACCGATTCGTATTGTCTCGTAAACACCAACATTGAAACATAACTACATATAATACTTCCAGTGAAAAGTCTGGCCGATACTAAATTTCGATTGTCAATATAGATTAACGTTTGGTCACGTACCGCGTTTAAAATGGTAAACCTTCGTCTTATCCTTAAAGTTTCAGTTTAGTCGCCCAAATCTATTCGAGCAGTATAAAACTAGAGTATGCTTGTTTAAATACTTTCTATAGTTTACGTGAGTAGAACATATCTTGTGGAAAACAGTTTAACGCTTTACAATGCGATACATTATTGTTTGAGTCGACATAAATGAAAATTAGCATAACAATGTCTTTCGCGACAGTGTAAGCCTATCTTTTAAGATAAAGTGTTTCTCGACGTTTCGCTAATCAAATTTGGTCAAAATGCATTATTACATGTTAATTGTTCGAGTTCTCGAACATCATATATTAGCTGTTCAAACTTTACGAATAGTTGCTGATGTAGGAGAAGCAGTTGTTGTCAACTCATAATTTTTCGAGCAATCGAGGAGTTAACATCTCCTGATGATGCCGTCCACACGTGATGGCGAAACGTCGAGAACCTCTTCTCGCTCACATCGCCCGAACAGCCCGAAAGACAATGATATCCTAAACGATGGCCGTGAAAGCCTTACAAAATTTATAATTATATTAATCTTGCAAACAATACAATGTTCGCCACATCAGCTAGTTCCTAAAGTTTTAGCATTTAACGCTTCTCAACAAATGTCTAATAGACAACATTGAATCTAATATCAAGTACACCAACAAAGATTCAGTCAGCGGTTTCCCATGATGCCCTATTGACCCAATAAATGAATAATCACCAAGTGAAGAACCGCTCAAACAGCGCAAAAAGAATTAGATTATTTTTCGCTAACCAAGACGTTTCCTCATTAATTCCGATGCATAAATTTTCCATATTATAAATATTTATAATTAAGAACATTTGGTTACATTAGATTTTGCATTTATTTTATACTAGCTGTACCCGCGACTTTGTCCGCGTTTTATTATTTTGGGCAACAAATTTTGATTTTGCAATACTTAAAAGCTTAAACTGCTTTACCACGAGGCTTCCAGTTACGCTTAAACGACGACGTATAGTCTCGCCGCATTCTTGCAAGTTCATTTTAAAAGAATTCTAAACATATTTTTTGGGTGTCTGAGCCGTTTGCGCAGCGCGCGCATTTGAAACCCACGGAGATGAAATATTTCCCCCTTTTTTTCACATTTCCCGCTATTTCTTCGCTTCTATTAGTACATAAGGGTATGTTTTACTTAGCCTTCCTCAATAAATGTTCTAACCAACACAAAAATATTTTTTCATTTCGAACCCGTAGTTCCTGAGTTTAGCGCGTTAAAACAAACAAACTCTTCAGCTTTATAAACTAGTAGATGATAAAACACTTAGCAAATCCCTTTTCTAATGAAATGTCCTATGCCCCACGTCGGGGTAAAGGCGTATCGAGGGAGATTGCTATAGTTATTTGATAAGTTATTTTTTAATTAGTCAAGTTCAACGAACAAAGACTCAAATATGATTACTCGTGTTACGTAACGTGTTTAATGAAAACTATTTGTTCATACAAAACATCTAAACCGTTTAAAACGCATATTGTGGCGTCGTTGCGTTTTAAACCGTTTTATATATATAAATTAAATATATATATACGGGTTATATATGTATTACACGTAAACCACGTAATCAAACACATAATTTCCATTAACAAAATATGATATGAAATTTAAAATTGTCTATTTCAGACGTGCACACATAATAAAATATTAATTAGTGTTCAGTTATTACAGGTTCGATTCCAGCTCGAATTACTTTATTCCAATTTAGTTACGATTAATTATCGGTTTCAGTGTCCCATACGACCGATGACATGATATTCCAGTGGGACCCGGAAGTGCCCCTGGTGGTGGACGAGAACATAGAACTGCCCCAACTTGAATTGGTGCAAAACAGAACAGCTGATTGTACGCAGGTTTACTCTACTGGTGTGTGCCATTCAAATAAGATAAGACATTGATATTGTTACTATGTTTGGGGTTCAAACCCACGACATATCGCCTTTAAAGCAAGTATAGACAGTTGACAGAGATACAATCTAACATGCAACATAACGAGGGATTTTAAATGAAACACTTTTAACGGTTTCAAACGCGAAATGTATTAATTAAACTTATTGTTATGCAGCGGGTCAGAAGGTAACAAGGTCCCATTTCCTCTGGTGCACCTTTTTGTTTTGGTTAGATTTTGTTTGCGAGACTGTTATCTGGTAACTCTTCGACGGTTCGGGTTTGTAACCCAGGAAAAACATTAAATCCAATCTTCTCCAAGGGATGTCTCGCCCTTAGGCATTCATTGTATACTGCCTGTATTTTACGCTAGTGCATATCAATAAAACACTTTTAACGGTTTTAAACGTCTTCCCATGAACACGGATGCCGTAAAGCACGCGAAACGTCGGACCATAGTTAAAATCATGTTTAAAGTTTAACTAATCCGTTTTGAGTTTTAAACTGTTATAGGTGTTTTAATGCATTAATTACAGTTTACACGTTTACACATTTAAGAGTTTAAAACACAAAATATATTAGTTAAATGTTTTTTTCCAAAAAATTTACATATGTTAATTAGTATATTTCCCGTTGAGAAACCGTTTGAGAGCTTTATTTAAAACTGACCTACGCGCTAAGCAAAACTAGCCATTGTTCCTCGGCGGCGGTCATTGTCTATAGGTACATTTACAACCTTACATTACTAACTTCTAGTGTTTTCCCTAAGATAGCAAGTGTTGTAAAACTCAGTCTTGTGAATTTACGACCCAAATGATAATCGTAAAAAGATATCTTTATCTTTGACTTTGCAAATTTAAGTCCCTGTGTTATTGAGCATGATGGCATTATATACATTCAAAACCTATGTAGAAAAAAAATGGCTGAAACATGAACCGGCGTCCACAGTGATTCAGTTCTAACACTACCGTTACACCCTAACGTTACGTTAGCGTGACAAGCCGGCTGATTTCCCACACTTGTTGTCTATATTGTACAATCTAAATAGATTTTTGATTGTATTAACATCGTCAATGACTGACAACCCTTATAAGTCCTTCTCCAATCTTTTCTTTACTTTATGTAATAAAATCGTGAAAATGCTTTTTTTTTTAGGAAATTTCACATGTCTCGAGGTGATATTTAAATTAAAGCGTCGTTTGGGATACCATCTGTTCAACACTTATATTCCTACTTGTCTTATCGTTATAATGTCTGTAAGTATAAGAAAATATTAGCTCAACTAAGGTGATGCAACTAAAATACCCAACAAAAAAGTTAGCATAATCTTTATTCATGAAATAAATAGGCATTTGAATTATATCGAACTGAACCTCTAAGATGACGATATCTTCTCGGTTTTGATCCGGCTCGAAGGACCAAAAATTAAAAACCAACGTTCGAGTATATTTTTATAGATTGTATCTATTTTAGTGGGTATCGTTCTGGATAAAGCCGGATGCCGCGCCAGCTCGAGTCACGCTCGGTGTGACGTCACTGCTGACTTTGTCCACACAACACGGGAAAGTTCAGTCGCAACTACCGCCAGTTTCTTACTTAAAAGCCGTTGATGCCTTCATGTCTGTTTGTACTGTGTAAGTTAACCCCCCTTTTATTAAAATTGCTTTTCTTAGTACTAGCTGTGTCAGCGACTTCGTCCGCGAAGAAAAGTTATTATAAGTTTCAAAATTTGTTTTTGCAAACGTCGTCTTTATAAATTTAAGCTGACCCAGGACATCGATCGCGTCTCGAAGTTCTTGCAAGTTAAGCATAGAAGATTTTTTTATATCGTTTAAAGAGGACATATTCTTTCACACATATTTTTTGGGTATCTTGAATAATTTTTGCCTCTTACGTACATTATGAATAATTTTCCCCACTGTTTTTCACTTTTCATATAAACAAACAAACTTCTCAGCTTTATATATTAGTATTAATTGTATTACTTGGTTATTCTCTCGTCTCCAGATTCGTGTTCATGGCTCTGATGGAATATTGCCTCGTCAACATTATCTTAGACGACGGAGGACGAAAGCCGAAGGTGGGGAACTCTTTTTTACGAAAAATTAAATCGATTTTCTTCAAGTTTAATGTTTATGGGCACTTAGTAAATAGGTCATATTTAAAATGATAATGAGTTGAGTATTATACGCGGAGACAAAGCGGCGGAAGTAGTTTACATCTTTGTCAGAGCGGAAATATGGTGTTTAAAACCTTCACTGTTGATAATTATTTCACATATGTAGATGATTAAAAACATTATTTCGTCTTGATTAAAGTTCGTCTTTTTAATATTTATAATTTATTAGCTGTGTCAACGACAAAGCGTCCGCATAGATATTTGGGCATTCAAATTTGTTTTTGCAAATCACCCCTTCGTCTTCATAAATTCAAGCTGATACACGCGTCAGTCGCGTCCCTCCCGTCGTTCTTGCAAGTTAATTTAAAGAATCATTCTTTCATACGCATCTGAAAGCTACAGAGATGAAAATTTTTCTCCGTTTTGTTTACTTTTCCCGCTATATCTTCGCTTTTATAAGTCACAGGTTTATAAGCACTCAGATGTTTTATAGCCTATAGCCTACTTCAATAAAGAACCCGTAGGTCCTGAGATTAGGGCGTAACGCACAAAATCTTCAGCTTTATATAATAGTATTGATCGTATAATAATACTATTAAACTAAATACTGTCTATAGTTTACGCGAGTAGTACACATTTAAATAAAACACTTTAACGGTTTAAAACGCGATATATTCGTTAAACTTATTTGGAAATGATTTTTAACTTTGGCCTTTCGACTTTGCAGCAGCCGTGTCACGGGGAGAAACGTCGGGTCGAAGTTAAAAATCATTTCCAAATAAGTTTAACTAATGTATCGCGTTTTAAACCGTTAAAGTGTTTTATTTAAACTATCAAACTAGCTGAAATAGCTACAAATTTTGGAAATACCTGTTTCACAAGTTAATGACGAAATACCGCAGATTTCAAAATATCCAAATTAAAAATAGTTTGTTTCTATTTTAAAGATTAATTAGATCTTTCTAAATCGATTGCTCGAAACTAGTGCAATAAAATTATTTGATGCTTTAGATTTATGGACCCCGTTCTATTGGCCTATCTTCAGTTCTTCTTGACCTATTTTACGTTCAAATCTCTAATAACCTCTTTCAGCTCTCTAAGCTTTATTTCATCTTTTAAAGCGTCCTTATTAACTATTTCTATTGGCTTATCAACTTTCACGAACTAAATTACAACATTTTTACATTGAATTGCTATTCCCTTAAACATTGGATCTAAGCATCTTCTAATTAAATCAGTTGCATGATAAATAGGCACTATCTTTTTTTAAATAAAACACTTTAACGGTTTAAAACGCGATATATTAGTTTAACTTATTTGAATATTATTTTTAACTTCGGCCCGACGTTTCGTGTCTCCCCGTGACCACAAACATCCGAAATCGTTTTCAAATAAGTTTAACTAATATATCGCGTTTTAAACCGTTAGTGTTTTATTGAAATGTGTACTACTCGCGTAAACTATAGACAGTATTTCACTATCTTTTTATTTATTTGGTCGCCTTTATAAAGTTTTGGGAATTTTACAGTGACGCATCTATTAATAAAAATATTGTTCTTCCAGGAGCCAGCTGAAGCAGCGAAAGCCAAACTCCGCGCCATCAACATAGATAGATTTTCCCGCGTATTCTTTCCTCTTCTATTTTCTGTTCTTAACGCTATCTACTGGATTCAATTCGCTCAATACATATGATTGATTCGAGATTTAGTTATCAAATTACAAAAGCCGCGGGTCGTCTCATTTCCGAGGATTACAAATAGCCCAGGTCTGTAAAGACGAGAAGATGATCTTATGCCTTGGGTTAAGAGCTTACAACGGCCCTATAAAAGTAATTTCTAAATGAAATGGTGACTATTATATTAATTTGTAATTAGATAACAGTTACGAAAATAACTTTCTGCTCTTGGGTCTGCAAATTGGATCTGAAGGTTTAGATAAATTGATAGATTTGACTACTTTAATAGTTAATCATTTGTTTATAGTCTATCATGAGATTACAAAATAATAAATCTAGATATTCATATTTTTCAATAACTTTAGATACCATTTTAGATTTTACAGATAAATTCACAGACACAAGAAAGGTTTGTTTCAGATTATTATTGTGTTAGCGGAAATAACTACACTATTAAATGATAAACCATAGATAATAACTTAATTCTTGTGATAAAAGTTATTCGTGTTCATTAGATTCCAATATTAATAGATAACGGGGGCGCTGGTTCGATTCCTACTATATCTAATGTCTGGAAGATTGTCTGATACATTCTGTGGATAGTATCGAAGGCTATGTCACGAACCGCCACAGATGTAACCATGAACTGTTTCTTTTCCATGGTGCTTTTCGGTTTTAGTCTGTGGATTTCAGAATGTCCAAATCCCAGTCGTCTATATAATATATGGTTTCCTCATGACCACAGAAAATAAGCTAGTCTGTCCTACGTTATCAAATATGAGGCATAGTGGCCTAATAACGAAAGGCATGATTTTCAATAAGGAGGCAAATAAAAATGCGCAATTAATTCGTACTATTATTTGTGTAAGAATTATGTTAATAATTATTGGTTACTGTGTTGTAGATTAACATTTTTAGACTATGAAAATATTAATAACTCAAGTCTAAAATTGCAGTTAGGCTACTCTTTAGCCACCTTACTTAACGGCATATTAAATTCTTGTGATTGAATTTCATGCACCTTTAAGCTTAGAGCCTATATCGGATCTTTTAACATAGAACCTTCATGACTTAGTGGTAGCGTTCAAGGTCTTACAAAACTATTTAATAACACCTTTCACCTTTTTTGTTAACTATGTAATATTTTGTCCCTTGAGGAGTTGAGATTACCTAGTTTAGCAGTAGTTTAAAACACTCTAACAGTTTAAAACGCGATGTATAATTAGTTAGCACAGACACAGTCTTTCCGTGACCACGGCTGCTGCAAAGCATCCGAATTGTCAGGCCGTTATAATTACAATAACTATCAAATCAGTTGAACTAATATATATCGCGTTTTAAACCGTTTAAATGGTTCATTTAAATGTGTAATGACGTAAACTACAGTCAGTAGGTATTTACTGTACTACAGGCGATATTCATTGAATAAAACCATTTCATTGGTTTAAAATGCGATGTAATTAACTACGACGAGTTTAGAATGCTTTTTAGCATATTTAGTCGGCCAAGTGTTCTTTGACCGTAACTGAAGGTTTAAACCGTTAAAATTATGACATTTGATATATAACTTTGGCGTTATATACTTTATATATATCTTAGCTAACATATATGAGTTTTACCAAAAATAATGTTGTATTTGAAAAGAAAAATGTAATTTTTCAGTTACTATATATACTTATACCTACTTATAGAAAGAAAATTGTTAAACAATTATTATTTTTGATACCTTAACAGCGCAGTTTCGATAATCTAGATAACATTAGTACATCATTCCATTTACTATGTACTTTGATAGTTTAACTATGTGTAATATAAAAACCTATCATAGTGAATTATAAATTTAGTATGTTAAAGATATTATAGTTTATTCTGTTTTCAAACGATTGTTTTATTTTACACATATTTCTAAGGCTCGTTCGTCTAATGGTAGTGACGTCCGCAATAAACGCGCCGGCTCCCCAGCGGGTCAGTCTAATCAATGTATATTTTTTCTAAAACATCTTGGACTTCTCTAAAAAAGATTTGAAATACTGTCTATAATTTACGCGAGTAGTACACATTTAAATAAAACACTTTAACGGTTTAAAACGCGATATATTAGTTAAACTTATTTGAAAATGATCTTTAACTTCGGCCCGACGTTTCGGAGTCCCCTCGTGACCACGGCTGCTGCAAAGCATTTGAAACGTCGGGCCGAAGTGAAAAATCATTTTCAAATAAGTTTAACTAATATATCGCGTTTTAAACCGTTAAAGTGTTTTATTTAAAGATTTGAAATATAATTCGCGGTTTTGTGGATTTCCAAATGTCTACAGCCAAAATAGATAGACAGCTCATCTCGCTTCGGTGTTACAGGGGGTATTTCATTAAGCGAACTCCATGCCTGTCCATCCTTTACGATAAATAAACGTAATTACTTACCTCTAGCGTACAAAATTAATAATTTGTTATAATGTCAGCCATAAAGATGTACATATGTAATGTTTTCAGGTTTTATGGGCCATATTAATCAAAAAAATGACCTACATTTACAGAGTTGTTTAATATTGCTTTGAAAAGACTTTTCACAAACAATTTTTGAAAAGAAAATGTTTTATGATATAGATATAGATTTTTAACGATAGAGGAGGAGCGTGGCTTTCACTGGATATTTCCAGACGGAGTACATGTTTCAGAAAAATATAAATTGAAAAATTTGAATCATCACCCGTGGGGACTGAACGACCCCTTGATTGAGCCTATGCTACTATTAGCCCGTCAAAAAAGGTATAAATAGAAGTGATCGGTGAAATAGATACAGAAATGTGTTTGTCCCATACCCCGTATATGTTTTAGGCCTCGTCGACACGCCAGTCTCATTCAGCAATCGGTTAATTCACGTCGCTTCATGGCTGTTATTAAACAATGGTCTAGTGGCACGGACAAACTTTTTGTCTTTGCCTTTACAGAAATAATGGTCATTGTGACTTCATTTTGTTCAGCATTCAATACGATTACTGTACGGTAAAGTCCATAATAATATTGTTAGTGTATTGTGTAATACTAGATATTATATTATTTACTAACTGTGCCCACGAATTTTTATTTTGGGCATATTTGTTTTTTTTTACCTTCCTAAGTTTAGGTATAAATAGTTGTTTTCCACGAAGTCGGCCGCGTCCCGTCGTTCTTGCGAGTTAATCTTAAAAGATAGACATGTACTGTTACTCTAATCTCTAATAATAGTTGTATTATACACATTTTTCTTGAACCATTTTCGCAGTGCTCGCGAGTAAGCATTCAAAAATAAATATTTTTTCCCGTTTTTACCACATTTCGCCATTGTGTTCTCACTCCTATTAGTCGTAACGTTGTGCTATATAGTATTAAACTGACCTCAATAAATATTCTAACTAACACAAAAAAAAAAATTCAATTCAAACTAGTAGTTCCTGAGATAAGCGCGTTCTACAAACAAACTCTTCAGCTTTCATAATATTAGGTATAGTCGTTTCCACCTTAACTGGAGAGAGGGTTCCACAGCTAAGAGCAACCAGTGTGCGGTCTTTATTAGTTGTTAAAGACAAACTACTGGAGGGTCCACCTCTAAAATTAGTGACGATAACACTAGGAGGTGAACAAACTCACAACTTTAATTTAGAATTTGAAGATTTCCCCTTAAAAAATACAAACACTATAACGGATTCATCCCCTGGACTTTGTGGCCTGCAGTCCAGTGTACTAAAACGAGACCAAGAAAGCAGTAAAACCGAGTTTCGTTTTTTATCCCATACATTACACTGCACTGTTCAAGTTAATAATAGCCCATAATTCAGCATAAGATATAATTTTCTGTACATGGGTATTAGTCGGATATAGTATTAATAATTTGTTACATGGCTGTTTTATTAGAACAGTGTTCGATATAAAGCAGGAAGTAAAGCGTAATGAATACATCAGATATTTATGTAAGTCACATGACTGAGATTATTATTGTTTTTTGATAATGCTTATCGTGAGATCATTTACAAACAGTACTGTTTAAACTGTAGCGCGCGTTAGCTGCATAAACATAAAATCGTAACTAATTAATTGAGCCGAATAATACGAAAATAAAAGTAATGAGTATTTAAGTTATAAAACAAACAAAAAAGGTTTGGCGCCAAAAAGTTTATATATGATTGACAATTGACATTTCCTCTGTCAAGCGACAAGACATTTCGAAGGTCCCAAGATGTCAACTTGTCAGTCGGTCAGTGGATGGTATATTATTTGAACGTGTCGGTGTTTCCGGCGACGCGGCGCAAGACCAATTTGCATGAATTCGCATTTATTCAATTATAAAATAATTTAAACAGAGTGTAGTGAATAGGGCGATGCTCGTAAGTGGCTGGACACACGGCGAGTGATTTAATGCGAGCGGTTCTTGTACCGGCGAAGTGTTTTTAAAGATTTATAACGGCGTCGTAAAGTAAACAAACTTTGGACTAAGTTTTTGTGGAGTTTGAAGAAGACTAAAATGAAGGAGCCGAGCAGTAAAGACGATGGATCAGATGATGAGTCTGGATTGGGATATCAAAACACATTGGTTAGTAAGCATTTACTTAAGCGAAACTTTCTATTTTCTAGAAAATCCAACTCGCGTTTCGCGGAAACAAATTAACTTCATATACATATATGTGTTACTATGTATTATATCAATTATAAAATTGTCAACAAGTTCGTTAAGTTGAATCATTGTTCTGTACGGATAAATATTTATGCAGCATATTTATTGAGTACAGTACATTATGCATTGGTTTATTAATCGCTGTTCTAAATTACGTGTATAGCATTTGAACTACTCATTAATGCCGTACATTAATATTAAAATAATATTCATTCTAATCACAATATAATATACCTACTTTTGTCTAGACAAAAACGAAATATCAAATTTTACTTTTAATTCAACATTTATCAATTTTTTTGGCCTGTCAATTCAAATCAAAGTCTATAAGCAATGTGTATATAATGAAAGATAGCTTATTTACAAAGA